AAGCTCTTCCTCCTCAGGGCCTCCGCAGGCTGGGGTGTAGCTGGGTTCCCGGGCCCGCTCAACACAGGCCTCCTCCGTCGGCTTGCGGACAGGCAGGGTCGCTCTAGCCTGGTGTAGCTACTCACAGCGGGGCCGGGGCGTCCTTCCCGCGGCTCTGAGCAGGCTGTGCAAATGGCAGTCACCGGCCTGATCATGCTGGTCCCACCGGGCGTGTGTGCACACCTGCACACGAATCCATCTCTGCAAGGGCTGGGCAGCCTGCGCCCCCCCACCCCATCTGCACTCCCCCACCCTCCCTGGGGTCACTGAAGTGGCAGAGGAGCCCCCCAGCTCTGGGGCCTCTCCCACCCGGCTCTGGCCTGGGGGCATCTGCGCCTCGGGTTCTGGGTCAGGCAGGGTCAGAGGGGACCCCCCGCAGGCAGGGCCCGGCTGTTCTGACCCCCGGCTGTGCCTGGCTGGTCTGGCTGCCTGGAAGCGTTGGAGATGGTGACTGAGAGGCTGCACCTCAGGCCCTTGCCTTTGTGGCTCTTGGGCCCCAGGGGCGGTGCCTGGGGCCCCGGAGCCCCTGCGTGTGCCCCGCACCCCGGAGCCTCACTCGGCCTGGCCATGGCCCCGGGCTGATGGGCGCCTCTCTCCCTCTCTCCCGGGAAGGGGCATCATCACCCCGGTCGGAGGAGCCAAGGGCGCCAGGACGGCCCCGCTGCAGTGCGTCTCCATGGCCGAGGGCCACACCAAGCCTGTGCTCTGCGTGGACGCCACAGATGAGCTGCTCTTCACGGGCTCCAAAGGTGGGTGGAACCCAGACCTGCCCCACGGGCTCAGGGTCTCCCAGCCGCCTGCTCCCTCCACCCGAGACTGCGGCCGAGGAGATGGGAACCTGCTCCTGTTGGCGCTCAGGGCTCCCCACCCCGGGCCTCCCCTTCTAGCTGGCCCCGGGGGCTCCACCCAGACCTGCCTCCGGAACGCCCAGAAGTGTGTCAGCATCGTTCACGTCAGCAGCCTCCTCCACACCCGCCCCAGCACTTGGGGCCTCGCGTTTCCCACACTGACTTAGTGCCAGCAGGAAGCAGCTGTGTGTACCCACAGACCTGCATGGCAGGAGGGAGAGCTGTGAGTCCAGTGAGGCCGGCTGAGCCCAGGGTTTTTCCCCTGAGGTTTGCTTGCCCTAGTTGGCTCACTGATCCGTGGATGGCACGTGTCGAGCTTTGCTGTAGGCCCAGCACCTCCACAGTGCCTGCTGGGCCCCCATCAGGAGCAACGCGCCCGTCTGTGCTCGGGGGCAGGCGTGAGCCCGTGTTGGCCCCCCAGACTCGGAGAGCCTCCTCTGGGCATGCCTGGACACCTCCCCCAATCTTGGCGGCCCTGCGGGGTGTGGGGATGTGACAGGGCGGTCCCTGCTTCCCCTTAGATCGCAGCTGTAAGATGTGGAACCTGGTAACGGGGCAGGAGATCGCAGCTCTGAAGGGCCACCCCAACAATGTGGTCTCCATCAAGTACTGCAGCCACTCGGGGCTCGTGTTCTCCGTGTCCGCCTCCTACATCAAGGTGTGGGACATCCGAGACTCGGCCAAGTGCGTCCGGACGCTCACGTGAGTTTTCCCCGCCAGGCTGTCGGGGCTGGGGTGGGAGCCAGGGCCCGGCCCGCCCGGCAGGCGCACCCCCTACCCCACCTGTCTCCCTCACCGGCAGGTCCTCGGGCCAGGTGTTCTCGGGGGACGCCTGCGCGGCCGCGTCCACCCGCACGGTCACCAGCGGACAGGGGGAGCACCAGATCAACCAGATTGCCCTCAGCCCCGCAGGCACCACGCTCTACGCCGCCTCGGGGAACGCCGTCCGTGTCTGGGAGCTCAGCAGGTGGGGGCCCGGGGAGTGCGGGGGGCTGGCAGGTGACCCCCGGGCAGCAGGAGCTCACTGCTCCCCCCAGCCCCCAGGACCCTGGCCAGCGTGTTCACCTGGAGCCGATCCCCATCCCACCCCAGGGTCCCCCCGGTTCACTCGCTCCAGCTGGACGTCTCCACCCCCACAGGTTCCAGCCAGTCGGCAAGCTGACCGGCCACATTGGCCCTGTGATGTGCCTGACGGTCACCCAGACGGCCAGCCAGCATGACCTGGTGGTGACTGGCTCCAAGGACCACTACGTTAAGGTACGGAGACGGCCTTGACCTCCAAGCTGGGTTCAGGGGATGGGCCCTCTCCAGCCCTCCCTACCTCCGCTGCCTTGAGACTCAACGAAAAATAGTGACTCCTGCCGCTTGGTGCCGAAAAGTCCCTCCCAGGGAGCAAGGTCTGTGCAGGAGGTCGACTGCAGCGTGATTTTGTAAATGGTGAAACATCAGAAAGAACCTAAGTGTCTGCGGGTGGAATGACGGTGAAATAGGGAAAACCCGCAGGGCTGGGAGCCGGGCTACCACCGGCCTGAGGAACACGAGAAAGCCCCAAGGAGCGCGGTCGGCACTGACAGTCTTTGCTCCTTGGTTGCGTGGCTGCAAACAGGTTTAAAGTCAGAGACTGAGAAGCAGAGGAAAAGTTATGGTGAATATTTTTATTTCAAGTACAAATAGTACTGTATCTATTAAAAAGTAAAAAACCTTAACAGGAGACTCCCCCCCAGACCCGTGTTGAGTCAGTCTCCCAGCCCCCAGTCCCCACCCCCCCAGAGCCCCCTCTCCCGGGTGACCTCAGGCTGGCCCCGCGGGGGCCGGGGGTGGCCCGGGACTCCCTCTGGCCCTTCCTCCGCAGATGTTCGAGCTGGGTGAGGGTGTGACGGGCACCGTCGGGCCCACCCACAACTTCGAGCCCCCGCACTACGACGGCATAGAGTGTCTGGCCATCCAGGGGGACGTCCTGTTCAGTGGCTCCCGGGACAACGGCGTCAAGAAGTGGGACCTGGAGCAGCAGGAGCTCGTGCAGGTGCTGGGGGCGGGAGAGGCCGGCCCCCGGGAGGGCTTGGGGCCTTTTCACCCGGAGCCAGAGCCCCCCACCGCCGGCTGGGCCTGCACCTTCTTCCCCCTCTAAGGAAGGGTCTGCTCTCAGCCCCGTCTGGCCAGTCACCCCCTTTTCCGCCGACCCTTCTGAGGACAGAAGGACTCTTCAGTGGTGCGGGGCCTCAGGTTCGAGGCCAGGATTGGGGCTGAAGACCCCCGCTCCAGGCCCTGTGATGCTGCCCGCCCCCCGCCCCCCAGGGGGCTCCAGCATGCCGGGTCAGGGTCCCCACTTCCCGCCCTCACGGCCCGCTCCTTCCCTAGCAAATCCCCACTGCACACAAGGACTGGGTGTGCGCACTGGCCTTCGTCCCAGGCCGCCCCATGCTGCTGAGCGCCTGCCGTGCGGGTGTCATCAAGGTCTGGAACGTGGACAACTTCACGCCCATCGGCGAGATCAAAGGCCACGACAGCCCCATCAATGCCATTTGCACCAACAGCAGGCACATTTTCACCGCCTCCAGGTGGGTGCCAGGCGGGGGGCACTCCACTCCCACTCCCAGCCTCCCCCAGGCGGGCGGGCGGGCGGGCGGGCGGGCGAGGGCCCAGACCCCAACACAGACCCCACAGCACCCCTGCCCCCTGCCTTCCTTCCCAGGGCACTGCCCAGGGGTGGGGCCAGGCGTGCTGGGCCCCAGCCGGGACTGCCCGCTTGTCTCCCGGGTCGCCCTGTCCAGGTTCCTCAGCCCCTGGAGCACCCGCCCCAGCGCTGGTCCCATCCAGGGATGCCCAGCCCTGTCCCGCGGGCAGCCGCTCAGACGGCCTCTTCTTTCTCCTTCCTGTTCCGACCTCGTCTCTTCTCTCCACCTCCCCCTTCCTGCCCGACAGTGACTGCCGGGTAAAGTTGTGGAATTACGTCCCTGGACTCACCCCCTGCCTTCCGCGCCGAGTCCTGGCCATAAAGGGCCGCGCCACCACCATGCCCTGACCCCTGCTCCCCTCCCCTCCTCTGTCTCCCCCTCCCTCATCTCCTCTCTCATCCTCCCCTCTCTCCTCTCCCCTCTTTCTCCACTTCGATCTGAGCTGCTTCTTAACGGTATGAGATTGGTTTTCTCTAGCCCCATACCCTGCCTGCCAGAGATTGCCATGCCCGCCCCCCTTCCTTCCTTCCGAGCATGGACGGGGCACAGACCCCCAGGAGAGGGGTGCCAGGCAGCAGAGAGCAGAGGGGGGCCGTCAGGCCCAGACAGGACAAAACACAATAGCGACAAGAGAGCCTCCTGTTGGGCCACGGTGGCCACAGGCCCCTCTCCCTGCCCAGTGCCCGCTCCCACCCCCCGCAGTCACCCTCGCCCTGGGTGACACCTGGCCCTGGGTCCCGGCCACACCTGGAGAGCTGGGGACTCCAGCCCGTCCTTCATGCGGGGGTGGCCGGCCAGGCCCACGGCAAGAATTGACTGCCCTCTCTCACTCCACCCAGTGACCTGACCGTGAAGTTCTGGAGTGCCCGGCGCCTGCCCAGCGGCCCCCGCTAGCAGTGAGGTCAGAGGACGCCCACCCCTCGGCCCAGCGGCCTGGACACAGGAGGGGACAGAGGGTGTGGCCGATGGGCGTGGCCCCTCATGCCCCCTCCCCACCTTCCCACTAGATGCTGTCCCCCACATCCCCCACCTCGTGGGCACAGGGCGGTCAGGGAGGAAATCAAGCTGTGAAACCAAAGGGCGATTCCTCCTATTTCTCCCTCCTCCTGGCCCCGAGTTCTGCTGCCCAGCTGGCCACCCCCTTCCAGCCTTTGGCCCGGGGGGCTCCTGTCAGAGAGGTGAGGCAGCCTCCACTGACCATGCCTCCCCTCCGTCCCCCGGCCTAGCCACTGCACCTGCCTCTGAGCCCAGAAAGACAGCCCTCAGGTAGCCATACAAACCAGGTGCGGGCAGCTGGCCCTGCAGTTGACCTCTGCCCTTGGCCACCAGTGGCCTCTCCCCGCGGACCCCGGCGATTCCTTGGGTCCCTTTCTGACAGTCTTGGCGGAGTTGCTGGAAAGATTCCTTTGGGGAGACGGTCAGAACGCTTCAGTTATTTATGTTGTTTTTTATTTTTACTTTTGCTGTTGCCTCCTGGAAAACTGACTTGAAGTTCCTCCCCACATGTTCATTCCCGCAGCTCTCGGGGGCCGGGATTCCCGCGCCCTGCAGGGCCACCTCTCCCCGTGCTCCGCATGCTCTGCAGAGGAGGGCGGCGCCTGGGGACTCTGCAGCCCGGGCCTGTCCCCACCTCACCAGGGGGCTGCTCTCGGGACATGCCTCTGGCCGCTGGGCGCCGCAGTGCCTTCCTCCGTGGGGCCGGGCGCCCACCTGTGCAGCCTTACATCAGCCGCGCCCACAGGGGTCTCCTCGCCCGTGGGGTCTCCCGCCTGTGGCCCCCACTCCCCGAGGCCCACGCGGGCCACACAGAAGCAGCTTGGAAGACCGTCCGCCAGGAAGGGGCTGGACATGTGCCCGGCCCCCCCACACCCTCTCCCCCACGCATCCCCCCAGCCTGAAAGCGCCCGGCGACCTTCTCTGCTTGTTCAGGAGACGTGTCCAAGCCTTAGCTGGCGCAGCCGGGGCTCCCCGCCCCAAGGGGCCAGCGGAGAGGTCGAGTCTGCCAAGCTGCTCTTTCCTGGAGGGCTGGGCACCCCCCCTCCAAGGTGTTCCTCTTTTCTTTTTCCTTTTTCCGCGCATTTTTCTGACGCTGACCTGGCCTTGTGCTTCCCGGCCTCAGTCTGGGGGGCCGGGAGCCCCAGCTCTGTCCAGAGAACACGGTGACCTCTGGGTCTTCGAGAGGCGGCCCTCGACGCCCCTCCCCACGCGGCCAGGGCCCCGGCACTCGGGGCGGAGGGAAGGAGAATGGGGCCTCTCCCCCTGCGCAGAGCCTCCCCCAGCTAAGAAAGCCGTCCCGCCGTGAGCGGCCCCGGCTTTACTCGGAGCGGACGTCGGGGAGCAGTCGTGCAGAGGGACCTGCGCAGAGCCGGGACAGCGCCTTCAGGACCGGAAGCCCCTCCTGCTGGGCGCCCCCAGGGGCGCTGGAGCCCCCTCCGCCGCGGAGAAGTGGGCGCGAGTCTCCCCCCGCCCCGCCCCTCCGTCTACCAGCTCAACAGAAAGCTCAACCTCGCGACCTGTACGCGAGAATCCGCATGACTGTTTACAGACTAGAAACACAAGAGACTGGCTGCCCTGGACTGTGGCTGCAAGCCTGTCCTTGCTCGAGGGGGCCTTGGCCCACTAGAGGTGCTCGGCGTCCCTGCCCGCCGTGTCCCGCTGTTTCCGAGTCCGCTACCTCATGGCGGGCTGGCTCTGCCGTCCTGGCGGGAAGCCCTGACTCCGGGGTTCGGGAGCGGTTCCCAGCGGCCCCCCGGAGCTCTGACGTCGGCGCACGCCGTCGGGGCTGTCGGGGCGCTGGGTGGGGCCCCGTGCCCCTCCCTGCACAAGCTTCCGGTGCGGAAGCACACAGTGGTTGAGATTAGAGCACAAGGCGTGGCTGAGACTAGAGCACAAGCCGTGGCTGGCGGCCGGCGACCCGCGCGAGGCCGCCGGGAGGTTCCGCGCAGGCCCGCGCCCACGGCGCTTGGCACAGCCTGTACCCCTCCCAGGGCTCATCCCGCGCTGCTGCCCCTCTCAGCCGCCCCAAGGCTTGAGGCCGGCCCTGCAGGCAGGCCGCGTCAGAGGGCTGGGGCCCGGAATGGCACCCTCATTTCCCCACGTCCCGAATCTTTGAATGCCTGACCCCGGCCCCCCTGACGAGCTTGGACACCCCCCCTCCCCCCGACCCCCGGGCCGAGCCCTGGAACAGCTTTAGTAGCTGGTCGGCGAGCTCCCCGAATGGGCCCGTCTTCCGGCCTTCTCAGCCGGGGCCTGGGCCCAGACCTCGGCTCTCAGCATCCTCAGGCCAGCATCTCTTCCGTCAGTGGGGCTGGCTCCTCCGAAGCGGCCAGAAGCCCCCAGGCAGCACCTGGCATCGCGTCCGGAGCTTGCAGGGGGGAGGGAGGCTGAGAGCCGAGGCCAGCACGCGCGGGCCTCTGAGGCAGTCAGGGAGCCACCGTTTGGGAAGGGCCGCCTTCGGGTCTGGGGGCTCTGGCCCCGCCGCCTGCCCGGGAGTTGAAAGCACAAATCGCTGGAGGGAGGATTGTCCCTGGGGCCTCCTTGTGCCACCAGGCGGGGGAGGTTCCCCAGGCGGCCGCTGTGAAGTCAGGGATTCCTGGCCCCTCCTGCCCTTTGGGGGAGCCCAGGCTGCCGGCATCCTCTGAATCGGTTTGGGCCGGGTGTGGGCACACATCCTGGTCTTTGAGGCTCGCCTCACCCGCCGTGCCGGAGCCTCGAGCGCCTTCCCACCAGAGTGACCCAAAGCCAGCGCCTCTGACCCTTTGCCCCCCATGCAGGAAACAATGCTGAGCTCAGCTGGGCGTGGCCTTCGGGCCTGGGCTCAGGAGCCAGGGCTTGGCCGGTTCTCCCCAGCAGCCCTCCTCTCCTGCTCCCAGGCCCTCCCATGCCTTCTGATGTGCAGGCACAGAGCCCACGGGGAAAGTTCTCACTTCTGAGCGTCTTTGCTCTCCTCCCCCCGCCCCGGGACTCAGAGGGTTTTCTGGCCCCCACCACTCCCTGGTCTGGCCCTCTGAACGCCTGTCCCGAGGGCCCTGCAGGGCAGCAGGGACTGCTCCGGGGGAGCCGAGGGTCAGAGAAGACCCCTGCCCCACCCACCAGCTTTTTTCTAGCCATCCCCTGCCGGGGCGTGGGGCTGTGTTTGGCTCAGCTCCTCTGCTGGGTGGTCGCACAGGTGTATATATGTTTTGTACGTTGGCCAATGACTGTACATAGTGTATGAGAGTTATTTAAGCTCATGTTGTACATTTCTGTTCCCAGACAAGATGTGAGTGTTCTAAGAAGCTGTCGTGAATAAAATGTGAATGGCCATTGTCCTTGGTGTGATCCTGAGGGCTGTGGACACTGAGCGGGTGGTCATTCCCCAGGTTGGGGGGTGGGGGCTGGCCACTGACCAGGCCCAGCATGAGGGTCACCGCACAGGTGGTGGGCTGGGGGCCCACCAAGGGAGCTGCACAACCCCCCAGCCTCCCCGGATCCCCTCCTGGGACGGGTGTGGAGCTGGAGCAAGGCCGTGCGTTTCTGAAGGGCGCCTGCTCTGTTCCTGACACTGTTCCCGGCATCGTCCATCGGACAGTCATGACCTGTGTGACGGGCGCTGTTGGCGCTTTCTGAAGTGAGAAGAGTCTCAGAGCAGAGGTGGCTTGGCGGCGTCCGGCTGTGAGGAGCAGGCAGGGCTGGCGTGCGTCCTGTCCCTGGGGTGGAAGGTGACCCTACACTCGGACGGAACAAGGATGAGACAGAAACAAACGTCAGGCTCAAGAACAGCTCCCTCGGGCTTGACATTGGCCTCCAGATCAGTGCTTCTCAGTCTCGCCTTCCCTTTTCTTCCCCCGACTATCTTCAAGCTCCTCTGTGCTCCGCCTCTTGTGCAGGTGCACAAGCTGTTCCTGTAAAACTGAGGTGCCCCCGAGCCTGGAGCTCTCCAGGTCCTGCCCGTCGCCAGGGTTCCGCAGCCTCCGTGGTGCTCGCGTAGCCCAGGCCTGTGCGCACTTCAGAGTCCACGGCCCCCCGCTGCCCTGCCCCGCTCTGCGTATGATTCTCTACTTTGTCAGGCTCAGCTCTAATGAAAACATTTCAATAATAGTTTTATTGAGATGTAATTCCCAAACCACAAAATTTACCCTCTTTGGGGGGAAGGGTACTGACTTCAGTTGGTTTCTGTCTGTATTCCCTCTTGGAGGCTTGTGGCCACAGATGCTGAGTAAACATTTAAAGAGTGAGCGTGGGAAAAAATGAAAGAAAGAATAGCAATCTTGGCGGGTGGCGTGATGAGATGTCACAAACCACCTAAACCTACCTTTTGCTTTTGAAACCCCACATCACCACACCAACCCCCAACCCCCCAGGCCCGCCGGCAGGGAGGCTGGGGCTCGCCTGCAGCTTCCTCCCTCCAGGACTATCTCAAAGCTTTCCTTCCTGAGGTCTGTATTAAGAAGACAAGGGTGTCTCTTTGCTTTGTTTTGCAAATTCAAATCCAAGCTGCGCTGTCATCCTGCACAGGCCCTGCTGCTGATCCAGACCTGCAGCTGATGGCGGGGCTGTGCGTCTGCAGGAGGCAAAGATGCTGTGGTCAGAAGGAGGTCGCCCCTGGGAGGCTTCTGCTCCTCATGCGGAAGGGGCCTGCCAAGCCAGGGCAACCCTGAGCCAGTGATAGAGACGCATGCCCCCAGCTCCGGGGCAGGGGGCGGGGGGCGGGTGCGCTGGCTTCTGGCTGGTTGACGGAGCCCCACCCAGGCCACCTCCCACCCAGTCTCGCTCCGCCGCTGCTCCCCACAGACTGTCTTTCACAGAGGATCTGGCCTTGGGGACAGAGCCTCTGACACACGGAAGGCGGTGACTAGGCGTTGCCAGCTGTGGGCCAGCCGAGGCGGCCCCGGCACTGCTGAACTTGTCCACAGAGGCCTGGAGCCAACTGCAGCCAGACGCTGGCCACAAAAGATGGATTTTCCAAACTCAAGTCTCCAAGATGCCGAGGCACTTGGGGTGGGAGGCAGGAACAGCCAATTAAGGGACGGCCATCTTTATTCCTTTCACGTGGGATTCTTCTCCTCAGACTGTCAGAGTAACAACCGCTTGTTATAGAAAACTTGGGAAACAAGCCAGTCTCAAGAAGAGAAACACTGTGTGGGAGTAAGTTACCAGGTGGCTTTCCAGACAAGCAAGTGTCACTTCTCAAAATCTGATACCAGCCCAGGTAAAAAGAGCCTATCTGCCAATGCAGGAGACGCGAGTTCAATCCCTGGGTTGGAAAGATGCCCTGAAGGAGGAAATGGCAACCCACTCCAGTATTCTTGCCTGGAGAATCCCCTGGGCAGAGTCTGCAGCCTACAGATCATGGGGTCACAGAGTCAGACATGACTTAGCAACTAAGCACGAACACATTCATTGCCAGGGCTAAGTGGCATCTAAAAAAATCGTCTTTCCCAACCCTCTCAATTTACAGATGAAGGGAAGTGAGGCCCAGAAGCCAACAGACTTGGTCCAGACCATCCCGGGACAAGAGGGCCTTAGAGTCCGTTTACTGCCCCGCTGGTCTCTGCCCACGCGGCCACTTCACTTGGCGTGCCCCAGGCGAGGGGGCTGATGCAATCTGAAGCAGGTCCTATACCAGTGAGTGCGACCTGCTGATGGGTTTGAATAAAATCTGCCCTCCGTCTCTGCTTTGTGACACAAAGCAGTGACCTCAGAGCCACTCTGGAGAGTGAGGAGGGACGGCACGTGCTCCCCGAGTCTTGTGGGGTTCCCCTCACACCTCCACCTGCAACGGGTGCAGCCGGTAAGGCCCCCAGCGCCAGCTGGTGACAAAGGCCGTGGGCAGAAGAGGCTTCTGGCTGGTGCCACGGTTAGTGCGGGCTTTAGCTCTGCCTCTGAGATCACCATGACAGAGACTCCAGCTGCTGCCCAGGCTCAGACAGGTGGGGAGCACGGTCACTGCTGAGACAGAAGTGTGGGTGCTCTGTGTGTCCCCGGGGGCTCAGGTGCAGGTCACAGAGGTCATTGTGCGACTAGAGCTCTGTCCAGGGTCAGCTGATTGAGCTTGGGGGTAACAGGCGAACCCCCAGCTCCTTGTCCGGCGGGCGGAGCAGCCAGGGACTCCGTGTGGACACAGAGCCACCCCAGGGACAGTGGGATGGTCCCAGGCAGGGCCGTTCCAGCAGGAGCAGCGGGAGATGGCAGGCGCTCACCCGGCTGGCCTCTCAGGTGGCAGGGGGAACAGGCTTTCTGGATCTGGGCCTGAGCACTGTCACCAGGCTGGTCTGGCTGGGTCAAGGACAGAGGGTGGCATTCTTTGGAGCCGCCCTGGGTTTGGAGCACAGTGTCCAGCTCTCTGACCTCCCGGGATGTTTCAGAAACTGACTCACACCCTCCCATAAGCTGTCCTCCCGCTTAAGTCAACCAGGGAGGCTGCTGTCACCTACAGCCAGGAGCCCTGCCCACACCCCCTGAATCCCATTATCACTTTCCTCCAGTTTTCCCATCAGCAGTTCAAGCTAATGTTCAAAGAGCCCCCTCGCCCTGGCGGCCAGGCCCTGGGCAGTGCAGGCAGGGCAGGGAGAGCCGCCTAGACCTGGAGGAGGGGGAGTGGGCGGGAGTGGGCTCCAGGGAAGACAAAGCAACACCCCAGCTGGAAGTCTCCGCTTCTCCTTTTATTACAGAAGCTCTGCAGGGACACCCCACATCTAGAGCAGGGCTCAGAAGCTAGGCCATGGTCTCTTGCCGCTGCAGTCTTGTCTGACGAGCCACGGGCTCAGAAGTAGGCCTTCCGCGGCCTCCTGGGGCAGAAGCAGGAGGTGGAGCTGGCGACCCACATCTCCTCCTTGGCCTCCAGGACGTAGGAGGTCTGCGTGGCGAGGCAGCTGACCGTGGGGTCCAGGTCTGCCCGCATGTGTCTCAGGGCTATGACAGACACACGAACTCAGCAAGAGGGCCTGGGGGTGTGGGGCTCATGGGGGCGGATGGGTGCTGTGCAGGAAGGGGAGGGTGGTGGGCGGGGGGCCAGCGGCTTGTGAAAGGGGAGCCAGAGTATTTCTGGGCCTGGGACCGGGCACTGCTGGGGCTCTGGGAGGCGTGGCTGGGGCTCGTCCAGTCCAGGACCAACCTGGGGGGGCTCCTGCCCACTTCCCCCGGCCTGGTTCCGTCCTCCGTTCCCCAGAGCACCGCGGGAGCCAAAGCCGCCGGCGAGGGCTGCAGCAGGACTCGCAGGCACCAGGGAAGCCCGCCAGGCAGGGGTGCGGGCTTGGGAGAGGGAAGGGCAGGTGGAGGGGTGGGGGACACGGGGCAGCCGCCCAGGCAGAAAGAAGGTGCCAGGAGCCCCCGTGTACCCCCAAATGAGAGAACGCTGGTGTCCCCTTGTGAAGAGGTTTAGGACCCCCTCCCACCCGCCCCTGGCCTGCTGATGACTGGCTGTAGCTCAGCGGGGAGGGGCCGAGAGTGAACTCAGGAGACCCTGAGCAGAGCCCCAAAGCTGAGCCCTCGCCGTTGAGCCTCCCTGTCACTGCCCCCCCCCACTTGCCCTCATTTCTGAGCCCCACCAGCCACGACTGAGGGACAGGACGCAGGCCGGGCTCACACTGACCTGCGCGGGCCTCCTCCGCCTCCCCGGCCTCCTCCGCGCCCAGGGTCTGGATGATCTGGCCTGCGGGGGGCACAGAGCGCCTCACTGGCCCACAGAGGACCAGGGGGCCCACTGCACCTGCTCTGCGCCTCTTCCCTGAACACCCACCATGCCCGCCCTCTGTCTGTCCGTCCCTCCCACACCCGGCCAGGGCTCCAGACTTTCTCCTTGAAGCCAGGATGACGTCCCCACTTCTCTGAAGGGTCTCAAGCAAATGGGGCATCGCCTCTGCTGGGCGGTGCTTTGTTTGGGGACGTTGATGGAGCCGGCCACTCCAGTCTCTGAGCTGACCGCCCAGGAAGCGGCTTGTTTCGCGGGAGAAGGCCGCCCAGCCCAGGCAGGGGCTCCCCACGGGGTGGGGGGTGAGGGAGCAGGTGCGGACAGCGCTCCGCCCTGCTCGGCCACTACCCCAGGCTGTCTGCCCGCTGTCCCAGCTCCCTGGACTGTGTGAAGGGGGTCACGGCGCCCCGGACAGAGGGGAGGCCCGCCGTACCTGCGAACCACACGGCGGCCCGGCGGATGGGGACCTGCGGGCTCCTGAAGAGCAGCACGCTCTGCTTCAGGAACCAGAGGGCTCGGCCCGCCTCCTGCTGCAGCTGCAGGAGAGGCGCCGCTGCTCCTGCCGCCCCGCCCCGACCCGACCCGACCCGGCCCGGCCCGGCCCGGATCCGGCTCCACTCGCGGTCCAGGCCCCGCCCAACATAGCCCCGCCACACCCCGCCCACGCCCCGCCCCGGTCCTCAGAGTCAGCCGTCAGGGAAGCCCGCACATCCGCAGCCCGCCCGCAGCTCCTGCTCCACGAAGGCCTCCCCAGACTGCCCGGGCTCCGGGGCTCACTTTCCCTGGACTCGCTACTGAACCGCTGTGGCCGCACGGAGAGGAACCCGACAGCTGGGCACCCCAGCCACCCCCACAAGAGCAGGCGGCGCGTGGCCGCGACTCACCAGGGCGCTGAGGACGGTCCACACGTCTTTCTCAGCGAAAGTCGCCCTGAGCTTTGACCAGCCCAGCAAGGTGGCCAGGTGGCAGAGAGTGGGCCGGGCGATCTGGAGAGACAGGGAAGCCCAGCCGGAGGAGTCAGGGTGCAGGCCGGGCCGAGATCCCGAGGGCACAGGGGTGAAGACAGGCGGCCGTGAGCTCAGCCCTGCGGGGCCGGGACCCAGTAGACCCAGGGCCTCCGGCTCGGGGAGTCCCAGGGAGTCCCGGCCGTCCTTTGACTCTTCCTGAGCCCCTCCTCCCGCTGAGGAGAAGCTGATTTGCCCCGTTGCTATGTTACCGCAGCAAGACCCACCTCCTCACTTACCCCGCCAGCCCACAGCCCCCAAGCCCCCAAAACTGCCTCTTGGAGATTGCCGGGAAGTCCGGATCCTCTAGCTGGGGGGTCACTCCTCTCATCAAGGTCGGATCCGCCAGAAAGGTGGCCGCCCAGCTGACTGGGGCGGACCCACCCAGAAAGAGGACATCCCAGCTGCCCGGCTGGCCCAGGGCACCCTGACCCGTGCCCGTGAGAACCTCACTGGGCAAAGGAGCCTGGTGTGTGCAGGCTGGCCGCCGCGCTTCTCAGCGGCTAGGCTCAGAGCCCAGCTCACCCACTCCAGAACCTGGGCCAACCCTCTCTGCCCCCAGTGGGTGTCTCCGCATCCCAGGACCCCATCTCCAGTCAGCCTCTTCAGCCCCTCGCCAAGTGCTCACTAACATCCTGCGAGTACCAGCCACCCTCCGGCCCGTGGCCTCTCACCTGGGCTACTCTGCCGTTTGCATCCTCCAGGTGGAGTATGAGGAGGATAAGCAGGTTGAGGACTTGGTGCCTCAAGGGGAAGACAAAGACCCCCCTGCTGACCTTGGCCAGGAGAGCCCCGTAGATCTCAAAGGCCATCACACGCAGATGCTCGGCCTCCTGGAGAGAACACACACGTGCACGCATGCGAGGGCCTCCCAGACGGCGGCCCTGAGCCCCCCACTGTCTGCAGGGCCCCCCGGCATCATGACCCCACTGCGACTGCCCCCTGCCCTCTGGACCAGCCACAGGCCAGGCACTGTGGCCGTCAGCCCCATCGCAGGCGTCGCCGTCTGGCCAGAGGGCCTCTGAGACAGTTTTGGCCACCCCATCACTGGCAGACGCCCCAAGAGGGAGACAGGCCTCGGGGCACGCACCTCCTCCAGGAAGGGCGCAAGGGTGAATGTGAGCTGGATGAGGAAGGCGGCCGAGTGCTGCCAGGGCAGCTGGTCCACCAGGTCCCTGAGCACCTGGAAGGTCTCGGCCACGACGCTGCCGTCCATGGAGTAGCAGCAGCTGAGCACGTAGGGCTGCAGGGCACGGAGCTGCTTCCCCTGCAGACCGGGCGACGGGGACAGTCCCACTTGCCAGGGAGCTGCCTCCAACCCCCACCGCACACAGGCTGTGTGGGGGTACACCCCTCCTGTCCCCGGACCCGGGGTGCTGGCAGGGGTGTGCTGGCAAAGAGGGGGTGCCGGCAAGGGTGCCAGCAAAGGGGATGCCGGCGGGGACGTGCCGGCAGGGGGGGAAGCCTCCCCGGGGGCTGTCGCACAGCACCCCTCTCCTCACGGGGGAGGGAGGAGACACCCCTCACCCCCCAGCCCACAGCACCCTCCCCTCCGCCTCCTCATCCCTGGTGAGGACGCCTGGCTCTAGGAGACCCGGCGGGTCGGCCACCCGGGGCCCTTGTGGGAAGCCTCCCCCTTTCCCGGGGATGGTAAGAGCAGCAGGGGCTTGAGCCCCCAGCCCCATCCTCAGTGGGCTGGCTTCACAGGGACTGCCTCGGTCTGACCCAGCGAGAGGGGTCCACCCCGTCCGCCCGTGGGCCCTCTGGGCCTGCAGGTCCGGGCCTGCGGTGCGGCCAGCTCACCGTGTTCTTGTGCCTCGAGAGGATCTCCACTGCCCGCAGCAGCAGCTTCACGACAGCCGGCTCCTCGCGCTGGAACCAGTCGGCCACAGTCCTGATCATCTCCTCGTCGGCAGCGGCCGCCACGTCCGGGCACTGCAGCAGCTGCGCAAGGACACGGACAGAGTCGGAAAAGGCGGGCCCGGAGGAGGTGTCCTCGGCGACCTGGAGTCCAGGCTCCTGCGCGCGAGTGAGGAAACACTCCTCAGGATTTGGAAGAACTTCTACAGGGGCCAGTGGTCAGCTGGAGGGTCATGTCACAGGCTGTCGTTCCGGAAGCCGTCCCTCCAGCCTGCAAGTCTCCCCGGGGGGCCTTTGCCAAGGGGAACCCCAGGGGATCAAGGTAAGAAACACTGGTGTCTACACACGGAAGGAAGCATGTTTGGTTGCTTGCCTATGAGAAGTATGGGTGCAGGACTGATGTGGTTGGAGGGAGATGGAAAAATGGGAAAGAAAGGCGACAGTTTAAAGAAAATCGCAAATGATTTAGAAAATAGAATATAATTAAAAGAAATTCAGAATTTGGAAAATAGAATACAATTAAATTTAGAAAATAGATTCTAGTTTCAATAGAATGTATGTTCAATTTAGAAAACAAAATACAATGAAAAGAAAATAGCAAACATTATTTGTATATTTATGTAAATTATACATGTATCTATATTATTTAAAATAAAGGTAAACAAGACAAAAGCTAATCCGATACATTTAACCAACATGAGCTTATTTTGTGTGCACGCACGTGTGATGTATGTCTGTCTGGGTCGCCACATGTGGTCCTGATGATGGGGATATTTTTGTGGACAGCTACTGTCTCTGACTGGCAGGCAGGCAGACCCACCTCTTAGACTTACTAGCTGAGCAATTTTCTTAGATTCTTTGAACCTCAGTTTCATCCTCTGCAAAACAGAGGTAATAACACCTTTTTTTCACATAGTTACAGTGAGAATTAAAATGACTGAGCTCCCTGAGAACCCTGGACAAAAGCTCACGGCCCTGACGGTTTTACATATTTCTACTATGATCCTGCCCAGGAAACAGATGGGGACAATAAACAGGGCAGGTGAAAAACACATGGCTTATCAGGAGTTTTCATAGCCATTCTCTCCCCTTAACAGACCCTGATCTATTTCTTCAGCTGGTACCTAAAGCCCCACTGGTTTTCCACCTTAAAACTGATGGCTGGTAGTGAAGTTCACCCCCCCAACCCTGTGGGGGTCCAGCCTTCTCCCCAGATGCTGACTCTTCCTTCCTTGCTTCCCAGCCCAGAAGTGCAAGAAGGGTGGGAGATGCAAAGGCCCATCTCCACTGTTTTCAGCAGACATTATGCATTTGGGGTAACTTCTAGAGAGGTTCTCTGTCCTAGCTGTATTTCTAGAAGACAGCTCTAAGCTTGGGGTCTTCTCAAGCAAACGCCCACAGGGACCCCACCCTAGACCACCGGCAGAGAGGACGTGTAGGCAGGATGGGGGAGGGGTGGCGCAGTGGTCAGCCCTTTGTGTATTTAAAAGCTGCCCAGAGGATTCCCAGCGCAGCCTGAGTCCAGAACTCCTCCATGCTGGGGGTCCCCCTGCCACCCCAGCGTGTGCCTCGTACTGCTTCCCGAAGCTAGGTGCCAGGACCACCCGGAGGACAACCACCACTGGAGTATATCCAGAAAACGAAGACCTCCCCCGGGCCCTCGAAGTCCAGGCCTCTGCTGATGGGGCCCAGGGGTCTGGCGTGGGCAAGCTCCCAAGAGATGAGGCGCATTCGTGCTGGCCGGTCACCTGCAAGGAGCCCCCTTCTGGCCAGGGGCCTGGGCGTGCCTGTCCACACGCTCCATCCTCAGCAGGGGGTCTGACGACACCGACGCGCCTCCCTGTCTGCCTGGGTCAGAGCCTCACCCCCCGTGCACAAATCAACCCAGGTTCACGGGTGGGGGGCGCTCCACAGACACTGATGCCCGCAACCTGCCCAAAACACAGCGCGGCCCACTAGACAGGTTCTACCCGTCTAGGTTCTAGGACGAGCACCGTATAATCTGCTATCTGTTATTTCAGAAGAAACCCACTCCTACTGAAAAAAACTCAGTGGCTTCAAATTACAAAAGGAGCTTATTTAAAGCTGTGGTGAGTCAGAAATCCTGAACTCCCTTTAAACACCGCCGGTGGGAGTGTAAATTGGTACAACTTTACTGGAGGGCATTAGTCTAATTAGACAAATCAGACTAACTTGGCACTTGTCTCAAGAGTCAGAGAAGACATTCATATTTTTTGAACCAAGTCTTCCACTTATTATGATTCATAGTTAAGAAAATAATCTAGAATATGGACAAAACTTTCACATAGAGATGTTCACTATAGTGTTATTATAATAGTGTAAAATTATAAACTGAATGTCAGATCAATCATAAAATACCTTTGTGATGAGATATTACAGCCCCATTAAAATTTATGTATAGCGCCCCCCCCCCAAAAAAAACACATAATGACGAAGAAGATGCTCTAAGACAACAGGATACAGAATGTGAACAGTGATTTCAACCATGACAAACACACCCACGGTGGTGGCTAAGTCGCGTAGTCGAGTCCGACCCTGCGACCCCATGGACTGCAGCGTGCCAGGCTCCTCTGTCCATGGGATTCTCCAGGCAACAACACTGGAGTGGGTTGCCATTTCCTCCTCCAGGAAAACCCGCCTCCCCATTCAGACCAAAATCTAGAAGTGGTTTCTTCTGAGCATGGTTTTGTTGCTTTTAAGATTCTTTTCCATAACTTCCAAATTTCTATATCTTTTTTTCTGCCTGAAGTTCAGCAGAATACCCTGAGCCAACCAGAGAGCTGAGCAGAGAGTGACTCTGAGGCAGAGGTGGCTGCAGGGGCTGTGTTGTTCTATGAAATCAGAGCCGAGACTCAGTCGTCCCAGGAAAACGCAAGGCCTGAGACTCCAGGTGACCACCCAGGGGTCCTGAGCCACGTCTCCCAGCCTGATGTGAGTCAGGCCACGGCCCCCCGCAGTAACTGCTCCCGGAGGGGCAGACCCCCCGCCCCCCAGCCCTGGCCACTCGCCTCGGTGAAGAACACGAGAGCCGTCATGTGGTTCTCGTGGTCGGGGTCCTGGAGGATGCGGACGGTGAGGCGGAAGACCGGGCGGGTGTGCCAGCAGTTGCAGACGACCATGGCCCTGTCAGGGGGACAGGCGCCCGGGTCAGGCCTGCATGCAGGGGGCCTTGGGGCAGGGCGGGGCTCCACCAAGGGGGGTGGGTCCCCCGCCAGGCGCGGCCCAGGCTCACCTGCCCAGCAGGGCCACCCCCTCGTGGTGTCTCTCCGGACTGGTGAGCAGCTCCCAGCCCTGCAGTTTCTGAACGTAGGACACGTAGTCGGTGTACCCCACGCTCCTCATCAAGGTCTGCAGCGCCTCCACGGAGCAGCTAGTGGGTGCGGGGGGCAGAGAGCAGAGGAAGGTCGTCCTCTCCTCACCTGGGAAGCTCCTGTCCACCCAGCCCCCCGCACAGCCGCCGCCTCCTGGCGGCAGGACAGCCCTCAGGGACCCTGGCGACGTTCCATGAACGAGGCACCCGAGGCCAAGACAGCTGGGGCACCAGGGTGGGGGCGGGGGACTCGGGAGGCGGGTGGGGTCTGCAGACTCTGGTGCCCGTGTCAGCTTCTGCACCCATGTCACGGAGGGACCGGATCCCTGCATCCGCCCAGAAAGCCAGACATACAGAGAGTCTTTCTAGGAAGCCCGGCAAGGGGCTTCCCTGGTGGTCCAGTGGTTAAGACTCCGAGCCCCCGGGGCAGGGGGCCCAGGTTCCATCCCTGGTTGGGGAACTAAGATTCCGCGTACTGCACGACATGGCCAAAAATAAGAAAGAAAAAAATCATCAATAAAAAGCCTTGGCAAGAGCTGTTGGAGGGTGCATGGGGAGCACTCCCGGGCCTGGCGGAGGTGAAAAACAGCAGACAAGGTCCCCGAGCGACAGCAGAGGGGGGGTACCTGACGGGGTCCATCCCCTGGCTCACAGGGGGCTGGGCAGCCCCCGCCCGCAGGAGGGAGGAGATGCGGAACAGCAGGGCCAGGAACAGGTGCGGGAAGAAGGCCTGCACCTCCACCCTCCGGCCGGGCTCCAGCAGCAGCTCGCGCAGGGCTCTGGTGGCCTGCAGGGCGGGGGGCACTGTCAGCCCAGCCCCGGGCCCCGACACAGCCCCCGCCAGCCCCCGGGGCCCCCCGCCGCCAAGCCCGGGGAAGCGGAGGGCCGATTAAAGCCCTCTGGGGGCCCTACTGGCGGCTCGCTTCTCTTGCCATCCTTGGGGGGTCAGGGGACTGAGGTGCTGGTCTCCCTCTGTCCCGCCCAGGAGAACGAGGAGCCGGTTCTCCGGCACGGCAAACTCCCCAGGGCCCTACCCGAGAGGAGGCTGCGAGGGTGTTCGGCCTCCTCTGTCCACAGCAGCCGCTTGAGAGTTCCAGACAGCCTGGGATGGACCCCAGGGCACCCTGCCCACCCTGCACCCCATCACGGGCCCACGTACGATCAACGGAGAGATCTTCGCCCTGCAGCCGGGCTCCTGGGGCCGGGCCGTCTGCTGGGGGGTCAGCCTCTGCAGGAGGTGCTCCATGATCACTTCGTAGCCTTTGGGGAAGGACGCCAGGATCTCCCAGGGCTTGTGAGCCCCCCTGCAGAGTGGAAGCCCACCCACAAGGTCAGCATCCCAGGAGGGGCTCTGCCGCTCTGCGCAGGGCCAGTTCCCCTCTTCCCACCTTCCCCTGTCCCTTCTCCCCTCTCCTTTCCTCTTTCAACTCCTTCCATCTTCCCGTCACCTCTGCACCTCCTGTCCTCTGCCACCTCACATGCAGGTGACTGAAAGTGCTCACACGGCCTGTGGACCTGACATGAGAAAACAGCTGAGGCCCGACTTCGGCGAGGCCCACGGTTCGGGTCCCAGCTGGTGCTCCGGCTGTCGGTCCAGGCCCAGCAGGTCACCCTCCAGGCCCCGGCCGGTCAGCTCCCCGCACAGGCCCTTCCAGCCTTGCCTGAATGCATTTCACTTATGTTTTTCCTTTGCCTGGGATCCGTTCCCTCCCTACTCATCCCGACCTGACAAATTCACACTCAGAGGAAGAGGAGAGATCTGAAAATTATTTCTCCAAATAACATGATACAGTTTCAGGAAAGTCCGCTTGCTGTACCCAAGAAGCCACGACCTTGGCGAGACAGGAGGAGGGGGTCATGAAGAAATAAAAGAGAGACTGAAGACGAGGATGAAGACAGTCTCCCTGCTGTGGCATCTCCGGGCTCTCGGGACAAAGATGAGGGGAAGAATCCAAACAGAAAACGTGGGCGCTTGGCCAGTGCTTCGAGTGTCGATCAGTGCAAGAGACAGACCAGTGTTGCCCTTTTCTGTCCTGGCCGCAGAGCCCTGGCCAGGGAAGTACATAATTTCTCAATTGGGAAATTAAGATTGCGTATTAATTTCTGATAAATGCTCTGCATCATGGTAGGGAAGTTTTTCCTGCAATACAGGTTTTTTTTTTTCTCAATTAGTACTAGACTTCGAATTCTTTTGTTAAATGCTTTATAGCTTTCCATGATAAGTTTAAAAATATGTACGACTATTCAAGCAAAAACTAAAACTTTTTTTGGTGGTGTTTCTTCATGTGTATAGATATAATACATATGGCAACCACACAATACAGTAAGGAAGCTATATGTTGAAAGCTTCCATGTTTTCTTGAGGCTGTAAAATATTAATTCTAAATGGACTATGAAAGTTTAGGGATGTCGGTACACTATGACAATTGAGGTTTATAAATCCCTAAGACTCCACTAAAAATTGATGGAGTCAAAATCCAATGGATAAATTAAGAAGGAGTACCTTAAAAAAAAACACAAACTATGCAAAATAATTCAGGAAGGTGGAAACATAGCAGCAAACCCGAGAGGAGGCAAACAGAAAACAAATCCTAAAATGACAGACTGAGCGCCTCCCCTGGTCCCGTGGTTAAGAATCCTTCTGCCCAGATGGGACACGGACACGGGTTCACTCCTGGGGGAGGGACTCGGTCCTGCATGCCACAACTGAGACCCGGCACAGCCAGATAAATGAAAACAAATACATAAATATTAAAAAATACTTTAAAATAAGCGAAAAATGCTTATAAAAAAAGAAAGAAGTGGGTAGAAGATTTGGAGATTCGGCCAAAGCAGATATGTGGAGGTAAATGAACACCAGAAGCCATGGTCAACATCAGTCGCAGTTAAGTTAGTCAAGCACAAATAAAAGCAACACGGTGCCTCTGCACACTCATTAGAATGACCAGGTCTTCCTTAATGACGAGGCCAAGTGTGGACAAGGGTGGACGCCACCGGAAAGCACTTTAGTAAGCTTCGGATAGAAAGGCAAACGCTACAACCACAGGTGGAAAAGTTTGGCGGCGTCTTTAAAGGTTAAATGGACAGCTCCCATATTACCCAGAAACGCAACCCCTAGGAATTTAGCCAAGAGAGATGAAAGCTAATATTTACACAAAAGCCTAAGCACAAATATTTACAGCGGCATTCCTTGCAATGGCCCAGAACTGGGAAAACCAGAAGGTGAGTGATGAATACACTGCGGTCTGTGCACAGAATGGGGTGCGGTTCAACACGGAGCGGGATGCACTTCTGACACACACAGCACCCCCGGATGAACCCCAAACACCCACGAAGGCGAGAAGCAGGATCAGACGTGCGACTCGGCTCCGTGCAGTGTGACCGTGCCGCACGGCTCTGCTTCCGGGACGTCCTGGGAAAGGCCCAACGGCAGGGGTGGAGAACAAGTGGGGGGCAAGGCTCGGGGGGTGTGGATTCCAGCAGTAGGGGTTTGGAGGGCAGTGGAAGCGCTCTGAGTCTTCATTGTGGTGGTGATGACTGTGACTATACTTTTGAGAAAATTTGTGGAACTGTGTAGTCAAAGGGTGAATTTTACTACATGGAAAAATTTTAATGTTTTACAGCTTAGTACATCCATACTATATAATATCAGACAGCTATTAAAATTATTTACAACTAGTTTTACTTTTGAGAAAATGCTATGAAAAAAATGTGGGGATTGGTATATACAAGCGTGACTGTACATTTTTTAAAATCTTTTTGTGTATGTTCATTTGTTGTGTTTGTAAAAATTGAACAAAATCATTTTTAAGAGGTAGACACACTATAAATTATACCTAAGTAACAGCAGAGGTTGCCTTGGGGTGAGATTTAATCTTTTATTTCTTTTTAAAAACTGTACATGCTTTCAAAGTTTTCTGCAATAAGCAGATATTAACCATACAATCACCTTGCCCCAACTAAGGAATTTAGTTGTACTGAAAGTTGGACATATTCTAAGCATAAGCAGATCAGCAGAGTCTGGGGGCTTCTCCGCGCCCCTGGGGGCCCACCCACCTCTGGGACTGCTCGTCCATCTCAAAGAGCGTCAGGACCACCTCGTCCGTGTAGCTCTGCGCCAGCACGCGAAGCACCTTCCCGATGGTCTCCTGGGCCGCAGCGTCCGTGGCGCCGTGCACATGGTGGTAAACGTGCTGGATGATCTCAGGCACCTGCAGGGGTGGGGGGCGGAGTGCCTGCTTCCTGGGAGCGCAACACCCACTCGGCAGGAGCCTCGGACCCCGGTGCCCAGGCTGGGCTGGGGGTTGTCCCCCCACCATGGTTTATGAGCACAGGGTAGAGGGCAGCAGGGAAGAGGCTGAGGAGTCGGGTCTGGAAACCAGGTGGCAAAGATCAGAGCGGGGAACCGGGGCACAGAGACTGTTGCCGGGGGAGGGCGGCCCCGCCCCGGCCGTGTGGACGGGAGGCCGTGCGGGCCGGAGCCACTCGGCCGGGACACAAACCCGCCTCCCCACTGCCCAGCTGTGCGCCTTGGTGACGGCTCAGCCCTCTTTGTGCTCTAGCTCCTCATCGGAAAACGAGAGCCAGTTCAGCCTCCACCTGGGTCTGAGTGAACACGCCGAGTGCATGCCAATGTGTGCTCAATAAGGTCCAGTTACCCAGGCCGTACCCCCCGTGAGCTTCTCCCCGACTCCAGTGACGTCCCTGCGGACTTGTGGTAAGAATTAAATAACACAGCACGTGACTGCGGCCAGCCTGGGGCGAAGCGCCCGGCATTGGTAAACCTGAATAGTAACTGAAGTTAGCGAAACGTGGGAAGCTGACCCGGGCCTGGGGGCCACGGGGCTGCAGGCTCCAGCTCACCACGGGGAGAAGGTTCCAAATGACGGAAGTGGTGCTGGAGGAGGCCTGAGCTCTGCGTGGGGTTGGGAGCAGAGCCCGGCTGCCCAGGAGCTGGGTAGGGATTCCACGTGGGCACTGGGGGGCTGCCCTCCAGGGTGCCCTTCGGCTCAGGAGCGTTCAGACGGCGCCCCAGGCCAGAGAGAAAAGGAGAGCCTAGGAGCTGCTCATGGAGCGTCACTGGTGTCGGGGTGAGGTGGGAGCAGTGGAGGCCGTCGAAACAACAGCGAATCTGTCTGTCCATAGGAGCTCTGAAAGTGGTCTAACAAAAAGGACTGCTAAAGAGACACTGCGCTGGCTTAATTTCTCTGTGAGCAAGTCCCACCTCCAGCAAAGGGCTGTGCTCCAGCTCCAGCTCGTGTCAGTCTGTCCTAGGTTTATGCACAGATATGGATATATAGATACATAGATACAGATATAGGTGTAGATGATAGACATGCATAAAGACATAGAAACAGATATCTCCCAATCCTGCTGGGAATTCTCCCGCCGGCCTGACAAGCACTTAGAGGCCTCACCCCGGGTCTGGACGTGGGAGGGAGGTCTGAGGTGTCTCCTGGTCCCGGGAGCCCACGTGGGTCTCCTGCTGGAGCTCTGATGCTCATCTTCCCTTCCCGGTGGAGACGGAGACCAGGAAGGGCCATCCCCATGGAAGAGCCTTCCACACAATTGCAAACCACCCCTCGTTTAACTTTTTCTCCTCTGGGTTCAAGGATCACGACTCCTTAACCCCAACCAGTAGGAAGTGAAACAGCAAGATCCAACATGGAATGGAAAGGAAGAATGCCCAATTGCCCTCGGGCCCTGGAGTCCCTGGAGTGGCTACCTTGCCGATGTCGGGTACAGAAGACTTCAGGATCATCCGCAGCACCCTGGAGGCCGCCTGGACGTCATGCCTGCTGGGGTCGGTCAGGGCCTCCATTGACACCAGTATCAGGTCTGCTCTCTCCTCGGGGGTCAGGTACTTCCTGAAGAACTGGGAAAAGGGGAGCCGGGCTGAGCCCCTCTGGTTCTGCCCGTGGCCTCCACACCCTGGAGAGGCCGGCCGGCCTGGGTCCAGCCTGGCCAGCACCCGGCTCCCCACGGGATGACGCCGAGGCAGAGCGTCACCAGCTGTCCAGGCCCCCGCTGGCCCAGTGGTCAGCAGCATAAAAGTGAAAGTGAGTGAAGTGAGAGTCGCTCAGGCGTGTCCAACTCTCTGCAACCCCACGGACAGTACAGCCCATGGAATCCTCCAGGCCAGAACCCTGGAGCGGGGAGCCTTTCCCTTCTCCACGGGATCTGCCCAACCCAGGGATCAAACCCAGGTCTCCCGCATTGCAGGCCGATTCTTTACCAGCTGAGCCACAAGGCAAGCCCAAGAACACTGGAGTGGGTCGCCTATCCCTTCTCCAGCGGATCTTCCCAGAGGGAGATGGTAAAGGCGTCTGGGTTTGCATCTGGGGTGAGCTCTGATGTCTAGCGGGGAGACCGCACCACAAAGCAGGTGCCGGCTTCCAGGTCTGAAGCAGACATGGCCGGTCTCACACAGCACTGAGCCCCAACGCGGGGCCTGCCTCTGTGGCTGGGAGCTGGGGACTCCCTCAAGGCAGGGAGGCGGGCAGTCATGGGGCGGCGTGCAGATGGCAGCCAGGGACCGAGAGGGGCGTCCAGTCAGATCTGGGAGGCTAGAGGAGGCTTCTGGAGGAGGCGCCTGCTGAAACTGCAGGAAGGCTTCCAGGAGGAGGCAACAGATTCCACAAAGGCCTGGAGCGGCTCCTGGGCCTGTCCTGCAAGGGAGCCCCGAGCCGGCGGGAAGGACGGGATGTGGGATGAGGCGGTGACACTTAGCCGACGCCACGGCCTCCCGGCCGTGCCACACTGGACCTCGGTGTGAGCACAGACTCGTGCAGAGTCTGAAGGGGAGTGAGGCGATGCTGTCTGTGCCTGAGCAGTAGTTCTCGGACTGCGGGGCAGAAAACGGTGCCTCGGGGGGGCCGCCTGCAAACGGCGGCAGTGAGAGGCAGGAGGTGGGTGATGGCCATGGCAGGGCCAGAGCGGGTGGACGAGCCAGGGATGCAGGAGGCAGAGTGGACGGGCGTGGGGTTGAGCTGGGCGTGGAGAGGAAGGGAGAGGAGAGTGCAGGGCGGTGTCTGGGCTTCTGGCGGGAGTGGCGGGAGCTGGCGGGGCCTGGGGCCAGCAGTCCGCCTCTGCTGAGAGAAGAGAGGGAAGGCGGGCCACAGACAGAGGTGCACGGGGAAGAGAGGGGACCGCACCTCACTTTACAGTCCCTCTCAATGACTTAAACTTCAGCCCACCTCAGGGCAGCTAGGGCAACACGCCTTCCCCTCCAGCACACTGTCCACGAGACCTGGGACTTTGCCGCATTGGGTGGGGAGCGCGCGTTACCATCGTTAGGTCCTGTATGCTGGCCAGCCACTCCCCCCGGAAGTGCTTCTGCAGATCCTTCAGGATGTTCTCTGTCTTCTGTTTCACACCTGCGATCCAAAACCAACGGCAGGGCAGGGCCTCCACGGGGAGAAAGGAACACGACCTGCGCTCTTCCCCGGTAAACCTCAGAGCAGATCATGAGAGTTCCAGGGTGGAGTGCCGCTGGCCCATCACGGCATGTGAGGGTTCCCGGGCCCTGGTGCCAGGCCGGCGGGTGGAGGTCAGTGAGGCCGGGGAAGCAGCTGGTCCTCCGGCAGCTGCTGCTCCCACATGCCGTTCCCCCACCCCTGGCCAAGTAACTGGGAAACGGACCCAGTTTGATCAGAAGAGACAAGTCTCTGAAGCTCCTTTGGGGGAGACGGGCAAACTCCTCTGACACCTCTGTGTGTGTGTGCATCCATATCTCTGATTTTCTTGGGGCAGAGGAAGCCCAGATCAGGGCTCACCAGGTTGTCCCGTGAGGAAGGAGCCTCGTTTCCCAGCCTGGACCCTCGCATCAGTGGTGGGACAGCTGGGAACACTAAGAGGCCAAGCGGACCTCACAGGCGGCTGCAAGCGTGGCTCCCTGTCCTCCCGAGAATACCTGGGAATCTCCCATAAGAGGGCATGGCGTCAGCATTGGGCTGGGGCTCATCCGGATAAGGGGTGTTCAGGGCGTTGCCCCGAGGGGAGAGGCCAGCCCTCGTGGCGCGGGGCTCCCAGTGGGTCTCCCGCCTCTCGCAGCCACGAGGCCCTCCAGGCCGAGATCACTCACTTCTCTGCAGCACGAGGACTTTGAACAGGTAGTGCAGTGCCTCCGAGGCGCCCTCGCTGACCTCCAGGCTGCGGCTCATGCAGAGGCGGCCCAGCGTGCCCATCAGCGTCCCCGTCATGGAGAACTTCGCCATGTGCTGCGGGGGGATCTGGCTGCACCCCACGGGCCACAGGGGTGCGCCCCCAGCCCCGCCTGCCCAGGGGACCCCATCCCCTCCGACTTCCCCTCCCCTCCACACGGCTTGGGATCCGCTGTGGGTGCCCCCACCTCACCAGCTCCACACAGTGCTGGCAAAGGAGACCTTCCGAGTCAGCACCCAGGGGAGGGGGGCAGCCAGACCCCCAGGCACACTGGCCAGTGCGAGCTGTGGGCCCACCCCCTGGTTCCCTGGGCCAACGCCCCCGACCCGGGCTGGGATGTATCTGCCTGCTCAGAGCTCACAGGAGCAGGGGGACCAAGGGACCCCTGCAGGGCCTCACGCGCCCTAGGCACTCACTGCCAGCTTGGTGAAATTGCAGATAAACCTCAGGATCCGGGAAACAGCGCCCAAGATCCGGGTCTGCTCATGCACTTTATCCGACTGCACCAAGCAAGGCAGGATAATCTGCAGAGGGAGCAAGGAGATTCCCCCCACACCTTCCGTGGGGTCCCACCCTCCCCGCTCAGTCCCACATCCCCGACCAGCACCTCAGAGCCAAGCAGATGCCCCTGACACATGCAGCACCCCGGCCACAAAGACAACAGGAGTGTGGCTGCTGCCGGCCCAACTTTATATATTTCTAGTTTTCTGTGATGAACATGCATTGCTTGTAAAATTAACAAGAAAACAATGAATATCATTAAAAATGAAAAAAAAAAAAGAAATGATACATCCCCCAAGATAATGTCCTAACACAAAGGCATTTCCTCTCTACATACAGCCCTTGTTGTTGTTCAGTTACTAAGTTGCATCCAACTCTTTGCAACTCCCTGGACTGCAGCATGCCAAGCTTCCCTGTCCTTCACTATCTCCCAGAGCTTGCTCAAACTCATGTCCATCGAGTCGGTGATGCCATCCAACCATCTCATCCTCTGTCGCCCCCTTCTTCTCTTGCCCTCCATCCTTCCCAGCATCAGGGTCTTTTCCAGTGAGTCAGCTCTTCGCATCGGGTAACCAAAGTATTGGAGCTTAAGTGAAAGCTTAAAATAAGATATCTGGGCAATCTTCTCTCCTTATCTTTAGTCACATCTAGTATTTTATCCAAAATTATATCATCTTTGTTAATTACCACCTTGTCACAAAACTTCATTTCAAATGACTCCTGGCTATTTCTAGAATTTCAAACTCACCCCTCAGGGTGACAATGTATCGTGACCGAGAACGTTCGGGGACTCCGTGAAGAGGGGAGAGATGCAGGACTCTGTCTCCAGGGAACAGACACGCCTGCTGAGGTCTGAGGACCGAAGGATGGCCTTCAACCAGAGCGGGGCCCTGGCCATCCTTAGCTTCCTTTCCTCCCCCCGACACCCACGGCTTCAGTCTCCCTTCCTCACCTCCAGGAAGCTCTGCAGGAAGACCATGCTCGGCTCCAGATCCTCCATCACAAGAGCCTGTAACATGTCGTCCAAGGCCTGGATCGTCTGGCAGGCAGGGGACACGGGGTGTCAGATGACAGACCGCTTCCTAGGGCGCCCCCGCTCCCACGGACTGGCTCTGTCGCCTCCCTCCCACCTTTGAGCACCAGCCCTGCTTGACCTCACTGAGCCCCAGAGCAGCTCCAACTGTACGCCGGACCGTAAGAGTGGGCACCGGGCTGTTCTCTCCAACAAACGCAGCCCCCGAGGGCCCCTTGCCACCAGAGGTTCATTCTCTGACGTCTTCGACCAAGGAAACCTCTATCTTTCAAGCTGAAAATTCCCGGGAAGGTTTGACCAAGTCTATTGGCCAGTAATTCCCTAGAACCTGTGGGCTTATCCCCAGACTGTCTCCTCCTGAAACTGGGGCTCTCGTGGAAGTAGAGAAACAGAGCGCTTGGGAGAGAAGGGTGTGGGCAGCATGGGAGCAGGAACCAGCCCCGAGGAGGTGCGAGGGGCCACGGATGGGCGGCGGCGGCAGCACCTGGGAGTAGAGGCTGGCGCTGTCCTTGCGGTCCAGGCTGGGCATAATGGGCGGCAGAGAGATGATGCTGGAGATGCCGGCGGTGGCCAGGCCCAACTTCTGGGACAGATGGAGTGGCGGGTTCGCCTGGCTGTGAGGAGGGGAGGAAGAGGCCAGGGGGGCTCTGGAGTGCAGGTCCAGGGCTGTGGGGGGGCACTCTGCTCTGCCCTCTTCCTGGGCCCTCACAGTCTTCCCTGCAGGGCAGGGGGTCCCGGCGTCTCCAGGAGACTTCCCCACACTGTTGCCCTAACAGCTTTCTAACAGTGAAAGTTGGGGGTACCCTACCACAGAAGGCTGGGAGGCGAGGTGGCAGTCACGGGCCCTGCCCCCACAGCCCAGAACTCGGGTCCCCAAGCCTTGCTGTGCCCCCTAACCCTAACGCTCTGGCCACAGGGACCCAGGCACCTCAGGGCCACGACGCAGAGCATGGCTTGCTGCCGCACGGTGCTGACCAGGGCCTCCGTGGACTCTTCAAGGATTAGTTTCTAGAAGGGAGAAGGAAAGGAGGATTGCCCTCAGGGAGGCACCCCCTGCGGCTGGGTTTGTCACCCGTGTCCCTGGAGGACCGATGCCCAGAAAGACAGGGCCTTGCTCACCTCGATTTTCTTGGCCAGGACAGTTTTGGGAAAGAAATCGTCCATGTTGCCATTTGCCTGGGCATGGACAGCGCCACTCAAGGTGTCCACTGCGCTCAGGAACTTCAGCTTGTCCATCTTGAGCTAGGACAGAGGGACACACAACAGTGCCCGCAGCCCAGCCTCTGCCTGCAGCCCCCCTGCCTCCCCGCCCCGCGCAGGGCCCAGATCCCTGACCACCGAAGCGTTTCCTCCACACACCCCACGCCCAGCACTGGCCGCCAGTGTCCTGACCCCTCTGTAGCTCTCCAGGGACCAAACTGGGGGGCGGGGGCGGTTGGGGGCCCACAATTCCACTTCTATCGCTGGCCTGGCCACCTAACAGGCCATGTCAGGCAGCTTCCGAGCCAGGGCTGGCATTCAGACTGAAGGAAGCCTGTATGTGCGTGCTCAGTCATGTCCAACTCACTGCGACCCCATGGCCTGTATGCAGCCTGCCAGGCTCCTCTGTCCATGGGGATTCTCCAGGTAAGAATACTGGAGCGGGTGGCCATTTCCTTCTCCAGGGGATCTTCCCGACCCATGGACTGAACCCCGGTCTCCCAGGTCTCCTGCACTAGCAGGTGGGTTCCTTACCACTAGCGCCACCTGGGAAGCACAAGCCCTTGTTTTTACCTACTTTCCTCCTCAGCTGTCAGAAAGCTCCAGGGAATTGCCTTACCATCTGTTCTTCTTCTAGAAATTCCAGGATGCACTCATAGGCTTCTCTTTCCGACTGGCGCAGTCCTGCAAGGGGACGTAGTTGGGAGAAGTCTGGCTGATTCTCTGGGTGGAACAGGAAAGCTGAACCCCCTACCCTCCACCCTTTTTCAAGAGGGCTCAGAAGCTGTTGGGGTCCCAGGTGACTGCCCCAGCTCCAAGAAGCAGCTTCTCCAGGCCTGGGGCCAAAGGGGGACCACAGAAGCCTCCATGGAAAGGGAACTGCGTGGGGGACTCAGTCAAGAGACCTTCTGCATCAGGCACAGCCAGGAGAGATGGAGACAGAGTCCTCTGTCACCCCAGGAGCCGCAGGTGCTGACGCTGTCCTGGGTGGGCTCTGAAACCCTTGAATGGGAGGGAATTTGAAACCCCAAATGGGCCTATGCACCTCCCTGGATGACTGAGCTGGTGTAACCCTGTGGAGCAGGAACCCAGGTGTAGACAGAGGCTGGGGGTGAGGCTAAGAATAGCACCTGTCCACCCAGGGTGTCGGGAGCAGGTGAAGCAAGAGGAAGGAGGGATGGCATCCCTGGTCACCAGGCCTTCCTCACTACCCTGTGTGGAGTGCCCTGGGGCATGATGGGGTCAGAGCCGGAGCACTGCAGCTGAAGTTCAAATGCCTGAGTTCCAGGCCAGCTCTTCCGCTTAACGAGCCCCACAACCTTTCCAAGTTAAAGTCTCTCAGCTCTGGTTTCCTTGTCTATACAATAGGGAGGATGACCGCCCCTATTATTATTGTGAGAATTAAATGAATGAATGCACGATAAAGATAAATAACAAATAATTATAGTAATAAATAATTAATGCTTGATAATTATACAGGAAGAAGACTCTTGAGAGTCCCTTGGACTGCAAGGAGATCAAACCAGTTTATCCTAAAGGAAATCAGCACTGAATATTCATTGGAAGGACTGATGCTGAAGTGAAATCTCCAGTACCCTGGCCACCTGATGCAAAGAGCTGATTCATTGGAAAAGACCCTGATGCTGGGAAAAACTGAAGGCAGGAGGAGAAGGGGACGACAGAGGATGAGATGGTTGGATGGCATCACTGACTCAATGGACATGAGTTTGAGCAAGCTCCGGGAGTTGGTGAAGGACAGGGAGGCCTGGCGTGCTACAATCCGTGGGGTCGCAAAGAGTCGGACACAACTGAGCGACTGAACAACAACGATACATGAAGGCACAATCTTGAGCAAATTAAATTCTCCTTTAACGCAGGACTGGTAATCACAGGGTCTGTCACTGTTAATGAGGTTTAAATTCATTCATTCATGTAAAAAATGTAGAATGACCCTTGGCCCACAGCAGGAAATCAGTGAGTGCCTTCTTCTGCCCACATATATCGAGCACTTTCTGTGGGAAAGGTGCATCACATGCAGAGCTCACAGACACAGCACACACACACACATGGGTCCCTTCACAGGAAACTGTCATGCGCCCTTTCAATGGGGTCACCGCTGGGCCTGCTTGTACAGATGTGTGTATGTACATATATACATTCTGGAGAAGGAAATGGCAACCCACTCCAGTGTTCTTGCCTGGAGAATCCCAGGGACGGCGGAGTCTGGTAGGCTGCCATCTACGGGGTCGCACAGAGTCAGACACGACTGAAGCGACTTAGCAGCAGCAGCATATATACATTCACAGCAGGTCAGAGAAGCCTGAGTGGCCTTGAAGGCCATGGGGAACTAGCCCAACAGATATCTGGGGAAAGAATTTTCCAGGCCAAAAGAGCAGTCGGTGCAAAGGCCCTGAGGCAGGACCATGCCTGGCGGCAGCTGAAACAACCCACAAACCCAGAGCCTGGATTGGGACTGCAGGGGGAGTGGCCAGTGAGGAAGGCAGAGCGGTCAGGAGTCTGGTCAGGAGGGCCTTCTGAAGCTGCTGCAAGGACAGTTGTGCAGATTCTGGCTTTTGCTCTGTGTAGGACAGAGCCCTAGGTAGGTTTCAGGTAAGACAGGATTACTCTGGCTGTTGGGTTCAGACTAGAGAGATGCAGGGTGGTGGGGGAAGGGGGAGCGGGTAGAGGTGGCCAGGTCACATGGTAATAATCCAGGGGAGAGGAAACGGGGGCTGGACCCAGGATGGTAGGAGTAAGTGGTCAGATTCTGCAACTGTGTTGAAGGCAGGCCCCAGAGGGAGAGCAGTGCGCTGGGTGTAAGTGAGAGAAAGACAGAAGTGCAGACCGACTTGGGGCCTGAGGACCTGTGCCAGCAAGGTGGGGCAGGTCTGGGGCTGGCAGTGCAGCTGGGATGTGCTGGATCTGAGATACATGTGTGTGTGTTAGTTGTTCAGTTGTGTTTGACTGTTTGCGACCCCAAGGACTGTAGCTCACCAGGCTCCCCCGTCCATGGGATTCTCTAGGCAGGAATACTGAACTGGGTTGCCATTCCCTTCTCAAGAGGATCTTCCCAACCCAGGGATCAAACCCCAGTCTCCTGCATTGCAGGCAGGTTCTTTACTGTCTGAGCCACCAGGGAAGCCCTTGAGAAGCTGACGAGGCACCAACCAGGAGATGTTGCTGGGGCTGGATTGAAGAGTCTGGAGGTCAGGGCTGGGGTCGGGGGCTTGCTGGCACACTGGTGGTCTAGAGGTCTGCCCTGGCTCTCCCGAACAGTGGAGAGCCCCAGGCGACATCCGGGTCCCCGTCCAGCTCCAGGCCCCTCGGGGAGGCAGGTCTGAAAAGGGACCGTCGTGCAGAGACCAGAGCTCTGAGCTACCAGGCAGCCAGGAGTGGGCAGACTTGCATCCATCCACAAGTGCCCAGCGAGGGCTGGGCCATCCAATACCATCACGTCTGAGGCATTGGAAGATGAGACTTGGCCGGGTCCCAGGGTAACTCACCCGCCAAGTGAGGGCTCCCAGAGACGCGGTCAGGCAGTCCCGAAAAGGTGACTTTGTTTAATTTTCGACGATGGTCAGGAGGGGCGTCCATCGGCTCGCCTGGGCAGCAGCCAGGTCAGGCTTCCAGAAAAGACAGTCAAGTGCCTGAGCGGTGCCAGCTTGGGTCCACCCTGGCCCCCCTCACCCCACCCTGGGAAGATGGAGACCGTCTGAAGGGCCCTGCCTCCCACCCCCTGCCCCAGACCTGCTTCCAAATCTTCATTCAGGGCTCTCCCTGAGTTGGGGACGTTTCATTTGGAGGCGGCCTCCAGGCCCTCTGCCTCCGGGAGGCCCTACTGCTGAAATCCCGAAGCCCTGGACCCCTGGCCCGATTCACAGTCCGCGTCTGCCCTGCGGCTGGGGGGCTGAGTGCCCCGAGGTCTGCCCAGGTCCTGCCCATGGAGCAGGAGGGAACCGCCACCTGCCCTGGAGGCCGGGTCCCCCAGCCGGGGCGCCCCCTGCCTCCGTCCCAGGGGAGACCCGGGGGCCTGTGTCTCCGTACTCCGGCGCTCCCTCTGCCGGGGCGCACCCACCTCGGCTCGCACGCTGGGGTTCCTGACACCGGTCACGGTTTCCCCGGGCCTCACTCCTCACAGCAGCCACAGCATGTGACTGAGCCCGGCCGAAGGGGGCCAGGTCTGAGGTTGGGGGTCCAGAGATGCTGGCCGTGTCCCCTCGGAGCCCGCCCCAGGGTGGGGCGCCTCCTGCCCGGTCTGCCCGGGGGATGCTGTGAGGGCGGTGGAGGGAGCCCTCACCTGACGAAGCGCCTCAGCTTTGGGCCCACCCGGTTCCGGGATTGTGCCTCCAGGGGGCGCCGCGCTGGCTCCAGAGCGGCCCCTGCAGGGCGGGCGTGGACCTGGCTCCCCTCGCCCCAGGGTCACGTGGCAGAGCCGTCCTCCCGGCCTGAAGGACCCCCCACTTCCGGCTTTGGGGACAGGCGCTGGGGTTGTTACGCACAAGAGCCATTACTCGGGGCTGTGGAGGAGCCCATCGCCAAGCCACGCCCACCACTGAGCACCGCCCGCCGCCAAACCACGCCTACCATCGAGTCACGTCTATCGCTAAGCACCGCCCATCACTGAACCCCACCCATTACAAGCCACTCCCATCACCAAACCACGCCCACCACTGAGCACCGCCCACCACCGAGCCACGCCCATCACCGCCTTGGGACACCAGGGCCTGCCACAGCCCCATCCTTCCCAGGAAGGACCCTCAGAGGCCAGTTTCTTGGGCCCTGGTGGGGCACCCAGGAGCTTTGACTCCTCCTCCCGTCTTGCCCGGGACACGTCCCACCCACCTGCTGCCCAGGGCCCTGGCCAGACCACCCTGGGCAGACCACCAGCTGGAAACTCGGCGCATAAGAACCTTCCTCACCAGTTCAGCCTCACAAAGCACAGAGTTTATTGGATGGAGTATCTGGCACAGAAACCCCACAGCTCCAGCCACACAGCCGAGGACACAGCTGCTTCTCAGGTGCACCGGGCATCACACAGGAGCAATAAGTTAACATGCGGTGCGCGCAGGTATGTGGAGTGCTAACCCAAGGAGTGCTGTACTCCACGAGGACCAGGGGGTGGGTGGCTGTGCCCAGGTGGCCCCAGACCAGGAAGCTGCAGGCCAGGAAGGGCAGGGATGCAGGCTTCCCCGCAGGCCCCCTCCCTCCTCCTGACCCCTCAACCAGATGGCCCAGGCAGTGGGAGAAGTGGGTCTCATCCAGGTCAGGATGTTCTCGGGGCCTAATCTCCCCAACTTTCACCCTGCAGACGGAGGACGCCACATGGGCAGAGTCAGCCTAGTGCACCCCGCCCCTCCTGGCCTTGACTCAGCGGCTCTCTCCTGCAAGCAGGGTCCCTATTTGCGGTTCTGACCAGGCAGCAGAGACCCTACTAGGACAAGATCCCGGGACCACAGATCAGCTTGGCACAGCCAGCTGCCAGGCATCAAGTCTCAGTGCTAGGACAGTTCAGTAACACCTGCAGGGTGAGTGTCCCATGTCTGTAAAGCCAGGACTTGCCCTCCTTCAAGAAGGTCTGGTCTCAGGACAGAGGCACATGGGTGGGGAGAAGCAGTAACACTCCTGCCCCGGGGACACGCCAAAAGGGGCATCTTTCTTAAAGCACGTGTGCCGTGTTGGCTCTTGGGACTACAACAAAAAGACGTCAAAGGGCAGGGGCCTGCAAGTCCTCACGGGGCCCAGAGGAGGTGACCAGCCCCAGCCTGGGTCTCCTGATGCTCCCAATCAGGGAGGCCTCGGACCCGAGGCTCCTGGGCCTGGGTCAGTGCTGGGGGCCTCAGGACACAGGTGCACAGTAACCAGAGCCTGGGAAGACAAGACTCCACCGGGACACACTGACCTTTAACCCCACCCTCGCGCGCGCGTGCATCACAGAGCACAGAGAGGCCAGGACGCGCCCAGCCCTGCACCCGACAGCCGGGGTGCTGGGAACTGGGTACAGGGGTGCCGCCCCCAGAGGTAGTGGGGGAGGAGGGCTGTTCTCCAGAGCGCTGGGGGAACTCTCCGTGGCCCTCTCTGCTCCAGGCATCCCCTGCCACCCACCTGGCACATGGAGAGATGCCACCAGCCAGAGGCAAGGCCTCACATCCAGTAGGCCAGTCTCTGGGGAATAAAGCATCCTCATATCACAGGGATGGTGCGGACAAACCACAAACATAAATCCTTAGGCCAGGGCTTTTGAACAAAAACTGTTAAAAAAAAAAGTTTCAGCTCTAGGTCATCGACCTGCGATGGGGGGAGGGAGCTGAAGAGGGTGAGGAGAGGGGGCAGTCACGGCCCCAGCCCCGCTGGGAAACAGTTTCTTCAGCCGGCCGGGGCGTCTGCAGCCCGGGGTTACACCTGGCTCATGATCTCGCCATTCTCAGGTACAAAAACTTGCACGGGGGCCCCCTCAGGTGATCTCCGGAGCACGCACACCGTGGGCACCTGCCAGGCCAGGAGGAAAGGAGAGGTGGGTGAGCAGACCAAGTAGAGGCTTCGGGACAGCATGCCTGGCCACCCCATCCTCGTCCCTGGAGGCTGCTGACCGGAGGCAGCACCGGCCCAGCCACCCAGCCCCTGCCTCCCCGGAGGCTCTCTGGGCCCAGAGATGGCCCTATCCAGTTCCGCCCCAGTTCTTTTCGGGGTGTGACGGGCACCTTGACCTTTGCTCTGCCCCTGTATCCTGGGCTCAGTTCTCATCACCCTCCCATCTGGCACATTGGGCTTGGCTGGGTCTGGGCCAAGGACAGGTCCCAGCTCGTGGGAAGGGGAAGGCACTTCATTTCAGCTGGAGGGTGCGGCTGGGACTGGAGCCAGGGCGCTGCCAGGCCCGGGAGGCCAGCTGCAGCCCAGAGAACTGGGGGCGGGGAGGGAGGCGCCGCGGGGCCTGCCGGAACCTCGGGTCTCAGGAAGCAGCCTGTCGTGACTTCAGGAGCATGGCCCTCTGTACCAGGGGGCAAGAACAAAGGAAAGCTCCTGCATGATGCCCCTCTTGCAGAAGGAAGAAACTAGGCACAGAAACCAGGGCGGCCACTCTATCTCATGTTGGGGTGCTCCACCTACAAGCTGCCCACCGACCCCATTCCTGGCCTCAGGCGCCCGGGTGACAGTAACACCTCTCATCCAGGGCTTACCATATAGGGCTCTGATCATTTCACATGGAGTACTGCCCCTAGGGGACGGGTCCTTTGCTGCTCCCGCTTTACAGAGGGGGTGACAGATGATGGGAGTGTTGACTAACCTGCCCCATCCTGACTGCTAAGGGGCAAGGCTGACTTGTACCAGGGCCTGGGCACTTAACCACGAGTCAGCTTGCTTCTCAGCTGGGTGATGGAAGGGTGTGGGGGTGGGGAGGAGCTGATGGGTGGCCACAGGTTCGCCTCCTGCAAACCCTTTCCAGACTCTTTGTCCTGGGACCTCAAGTCAGGAAATCTGGGGGTGATTGGATTGGACTTCGGATTATGAATAGAGGCCTGTCTGGTTGATCCTCGGTGGAGCCATTAGGGGGAGATGTTTTAGGTATCTGGGAGGGTCACCTCCACTGGCGCAAGTGGGCATGCGCTCTTGAGCAGGCAAACTCTGGAGGCCCCCAGGCGAGTCTTCCAAGGGCTTCCCAGAGCCACGAGGAAACGTCTGGGGGCTGTTCTTCCTAGCTGAGGGCTGCCGGGCCCCCGGATTGCCGGCTCTGGGCTCTGCGCTGGGCCAGCCGGGACCGCAGGACCCGGAGGGCCGGGCCAGGGAGCGTTACCTGTCCGCGTGGGGCGGGCGCGCGCACGAAGTTGTCGGCGACGGGCGGCAGGCTGCGCACGCGGAACGCCCCCTGGCGGTCCAGCGAGTGGGGGCGCGCGCCCCGGAGCCGGGCCCGCTCGTGCCACGACTTGAGCTCCTCGGACACGGCGGCCTTGCTGAGCCCGCGGCCCGCGGGGTGGTCGCGCAACGAGGGCGTCCGGGCCACGCGGCCGTGGGCGGGCGGCGGGCGCTGCCAGAGCGGGGGGCCCACGTCCTCGCAGCGGCCCGGGCCCCACTCAGCCCACTGGGTGGGCGGCGGGTGGCCCTCGGCCAGCACCACGTAGCGCGTGGCCCGCAGGCAGGCTGGGGGTGGCCGGAGCCGGGGGCCAGCGGGGCCGCGGGGCGGGCGGGACGGCGCGGGCGGGGAGAGGGGCCGCAGGAAGGAGATGTCGGGGCTGCTGCTGCCGGGTGGCGTGGGGTGCGACAGGCTGGACGCTTCGGAGCCGCTGTCCTCGGAGCACGAGTGGCAGGCGGCGCGCGGCGCGGGAGCGGGGCGGGCACAGCAGGGCTCCGGCGCCGTCACCGTGTAGTAAGTGGGGCGGCGCCGCGGGAGGGCGCTGCGACCCCGGCCATCGGGGCCCGCGCGGAAAGGGTCGCTCCTGCAGGGAGAAGGGGGACACTGAGCCAGCCGTGCCTCCGGGGGTCTAGGGACGGAGGCATCGCCCGGCCCACCTAACGTCCTACACGCCCCTCCTGCACCCCACCCGCTCCCGCTCCACTGCCTGGCCAGCCCGTATTTGGGGCGAGAAGGCCACAGCTGCCTCCTGGTCTCAGCCATCTCAGGTGCATTTCGTCCACATGATCTGTCCGGGTGGACACCCGCAAGCATCTGAGATGAAGGCCTGAAACTGGCCCGTGGCACCGAGGGAGGGCAGAGATCCCAGGGCTGAGGCCAAGGGAGAAACCACCACGGGACACCTGGGGCCAGGACCTCAGCCTCCAGACTGGGAGACAGTGGCTTCTTTCCAGGCGAGGGGCTCTGTATGGCAGCCCCAGTCAGCTGGGACAGGGTGGCTGCATGCAGCTGGCCCTCCCTGGGACACCAGCCCAGGACAGCCAGCCCATCCAGAATCCACTGTCCCCCTGCCAGACCCTCGGGAGTGAGCAGGCCTGCCCATCCAGAGGGTTCCTTTCACTGATCTGCACACAGGCCCTGTGTGTTAAAGGCCGGGGTATGTACACTATAAGATGCATTGCTGGACTTCAGTGCTGCCCATAGGGCAGTTAACCTGACATGAGAAAGCAGCCATGTCCTGAGGCCACCCTGGACCCCTGGGAGGGCGTGGCCAACACTGCCCATCATCCCTGGCGTCATCACTGATCAAGTGGTGATGGCTGAAACCAGCCCCAGAGCGCAGAGGTCTCAGAAAGGAGGGCCCAGTGGGTGCTCGTTGTTCATGGGTTCTGTATCTGCGGGTTCACCTGCTGCTCGAATGGATTTGTAACTTCCAAATCAACACTCCCAGACTCTGTCACGTGTGGACAAACACAGGGTGGTGAAGATTCTGAGCTGCCCGACAGGCTCTCCCAGCTGAGACCGCAGCTCTCACCCTGCACACAGAGGCCCTTTCCACAGTCTATTTAACGTCATGCTTTCGTGTTTTTATGCCTCTGTAGGTGATTTCACTGATTAAGACAGCCCTTAAGCTGATGCTGCAGGGCTGTTGGGTGTCCGGAGCATGAGAAAGCTGGGGCATGATTTACGGAGAAAACACAGGTTAGATGAGCTCCGTGCGGGTGTGAGTTCTCTGGCTGCTGGCCCCGAGTTCAGTCAGTGCTATATATTAGATAAGGTGTCTTTCAACAGAAACTCCATAAAACAAGTTTACGGGTCGATCCGTTGACAGGCCAGCAGCTGTGACCCTGTGTGTCTCAGGGAGCAGGGGTTTGTGGCGACTTCACAGAACATAACTACCCAAGGAGTGAGAATCAACTAGACATCAAGCGAAAACGTGACCTGTCCATCGTCAGGGACCAATACCAAACAGTCACAGACCACCGCAAAAGTCCCTACCAAGACACTATCCTCCCCCAAGACGGTCTTCTGGATGGGGAGGTCATGCAAAGAAACAACACCAGAGTCTCTGGGAGAAAACAAGTTGCTTCATAAGTGACTCGCCCTTCGCTTTGCCCGTCGGGGCGCAGCCTCCGCTGAGAGGTGCTTGAGAAAGAGTCTCAAGGAAAAGCCACTACACAAGCCCCGTGTCGCCCACGGGTGTCCCACAGAGCCCTGGGAGCCGCCGCCCTCCAGGCTCCCAGAATGGCTGGGGGGGCCTGGCTCTTACCTCAGGGGCTGCGGATGGCCCCTCCTGCCCTGCATGTCAGGGGTGGCCGGGGCACTGGTACGGCCCTGCCGCTGCCCAGGAACACTGTGGATGGGGACCACGCAGTAGGAGGCAGGCTCCAGTAGCCACAGGTTGGAGGCGCTCGGCCCATCCTGCGGGGTGCTGGCCGGGCTGCTGGAAGTGGAGGGATTGGAGACAGGTCAGCATCGGGAATGTCTCCACCCAGGGGTGCCAGCCCCGCAGCATCACAAGGTTGGGGGGGTGGGGGAGGGAAGCCTCTCACACAGTGCCGCCCCGCCCCCCACCAGCCCTCCCTTCCTCCCGCCTCACCTGGACTCGCTTCCGGCCTCGGAAGACTTCCTGGGTTTCTCGTAGGGGTGGTCCAGACTCGTCTCCTTCCAGGGGCTGTTCTGGATGGGGGCCCGCTCCAGGCTCCCCATCTCAGGGCCTGCTGGCTGAAGCCCCTCAAGGCTCTGGGGCGGGAGAGGCCGGGAGGGTGGATCTGGGGCCTCCAGGGGAGGTTTTGGCACTTGAGGTGCCTCTGCAGGTGAAAGAAACCTGGTGAGGGCAGCGGTGGGGGAACCGGCCCAACTAGAACCTCCACAGCCTGTTCCCTGCTCTCGCTCCCGTGGCTGCTTGTCCGGCTGTGCCAGGCCATGGATCTGGGCCCAGATGCTCCGAAACACTTTCTTCCCCTTTGGGACGCACTCCCTCACGGCTCCACGGTACACCTGCCTCCTCCAGGAAGCCTCCCCAGGTTGACTCTCCTGGCTCACAGGACTCACCTTCTATCTTTTGCCCCTGGTGTCATGTCTGCAGCTGACCTCCTGTCTCCCTATTTTCACTGTCACACCGTGCCTGTGTGTGTGTCTTCTTGACCGGGCGGGGCCCTCCCCTGGGAAGGACCGCACCAGCCTCTTGGTCCACCCGGACCCCGTCCCCCCAGCATCGTCAGGGTTTGTAGGCAGGGTGCTCAGTCTATGAACTATGCTTCTTCCCTTGGTGCTGCCCAGTTTCCACAAAGGGCAGTGGCTGAAGCTGTGAATGGTGCACATTGAAGTGAAGACTTGAGCCTCAGGCCACAGCAGGGGCCCGGCGCCCAAGGCTCTGCGGGGCTCACCTTCCCGCCCGGGTGACTGAGCGCCGGCTCCGGTGATGGGCCGGCTGTCCCCGCGGTCAGCAGACGTGTGCGGGTGCACGTGGGATTCAGCGACCCCATGGAGCAGACTCTGGCCGCCCCGCACCCCTCGCCCCCCAGCTCTCTAAGGGAACTCGCCAGTAAATTCACACAGGAGCTCAGCTGACCAGAGTCCCGAAGCCCCTCTCACCTTCCTCCCGGGGCAGCCCGTCCGACAGGGAGCTGTCATCCGAGGCGCTGAGCTCTGGGGTGGCCAAAGGGGAGAGGAGCGGGTGAGGAACGCCCCCTGCACTGCTGGCAGCCCCGCCCGCCCCTCCACTCCTGGGGGCACTCCTTATCAGCAAACACCGACCAGACCAGCGCTCAACGCCAGCCGGGTGCGACTTCATTACTGGGAAGGAGAAAAAAGTCCGAAGATCGGCGTGAGGAGACCGGAAATCTGCCTTTAATGCAGGCCCTGTCACTAGCTTTGTGGCCTCAAAGAATCCTATCAACGCCCTGGGCCTCCACTTCCCCAGACCCAGACCCTCCCTGCACTGCAAGGCTTTCCAGGCTGGGGAGGGCAAAGGCAGACACGGTCATTCTGGACTCTGCTGTAGCGATTTCACTCATTTGCTGTAATCTTCTACTACCACAAATACAATGCAACTCAAGGACCCCAAACTGGAGACCCACAGAGCAGTGTGGGTGGGAATTGGGACTGTGGGGTCCTGGGACAATTCGAGGGCAGTCTGGCCGGCTGAACTGGGGGCAGCCTCCGGAACTCACAGAGGGAGCACTTCTGTATGGGCACAGCCCGGGGACCCAGGAGTCAGAGGACGTGAATTTGCCACTGCCCCTGAACAAACTTCCCTGGTGGATCGGATGGTAAAGAACCCACCTGCCAAACAGGAAACCTAGGTTCAGCCCCTGAGTCGGAAGATCCCCTGGAGAAGGGCATGGCAACCCACTCCAGCATTCTTGCCTGGAGAATCCCACGGACAGAGGAGCCTGGTGGGCTACAGTGCATGGGACTGCAAAGGGTCAGACATGACCGAGCGACTAACACTTTCACTTTGAGCAAATTGAAACTTCAGACCCTGGGTCTGTACCTGACATGACCCGGACAGAACTCAAAGCGTTTTCAACCGCGTCTGAGAACAAGGATGAGGGCAAATAATATTTCTCTTGGGCTCTACTCAGCGCTTTGTACCCTGTGAGATTACATCTCCGTCTCCGTGTAATAGCTGAGGCCACGGAGGCTTGGATGAGCTGATAAAATAGCTCAGGTCGATCTGGCATTCGGTGGCTGAGTCAGATTCACACCCAGACAGTCTGACCAGTCTGGCTCACCACCACCACCACTTATGGGCCCTGCTGTTAGCTAGCTTCTCGTGCAGAGGTCCTTACTCAGGAAACATCAAGATTTAGTTTCCAGCCATCTGAAAATTCTAACAAGGATTGGCTGATGGCAAGCCTACAGGACAAACCCAGTTAATTGGCTATTTTATAAACTTTCGTTGAAACTCAGCAACAAGTTTCTTTACGTAACGTCTGCCTGCTTTCATGATGTGAGGGCAGAGTTGAGCAGTGGTGACCGAGACGATACGGCCCACAAGCCTAAAAGATTTACTCTCTGGACCGCTACAGAAGTGTGTCAGTCTTTGCTCCTCAGTTTAAATGAAGCAGGGGGACTGGCGGTCCAGTGGTTAAGAATCCACCTTCCAATGCAGGGACACAGGTTTGAGCCCTGTTCAGGAAAGTAAGATTCCCGGCTGTGACTAGGCAGAGGTCTGTGTGCTGTGATGAAGACCCAACACAGCCAAATAAATAGTGCGTTTTTTAAAAAAGAAACACTGTTGCAGACATTATGCCAGTAATATATCATTCATTTTAAAAATGGACTGTAGCCCACCAGGCCCCTCATCCATGGGATTCTCCAGGCCAGAATACTGGAGTGGTTTCCCTTCTCCAGGGGATCTTCCCAACCCAGGGATGGAACCCAGGTCTCCTGCATTGCAGGCAGATTCTTTACCATCTGAACCACCAGGAAGCCCAAATAAATAATAACTTTTTCTTTTTTTTCAAAAAAAAGAAAAGACTGTTGTGGACATTATGCCATCAATATATCATCATTAAAAAAAAAAAAAGAATGAGAACCTTCACACAGACAGAGCAGGTTGTCAACCATGCCGCTGGACCAGCTCAGCTGACACCATTCGGTGCTTTAGGGTTCACCTGGGGAGACGTCCTCCTCCTGAATCCTGCTTCCCAGCCTCTCTGATCTTTTACAAAAACCTGAGGAATCGAGACGCTTCCGTTTCACCAATGTCAGCTGGAGACGCTGTGGGACTGCTCCTGTCACAGCCCAGGGATGCAGTGGGGTGAGAGTCGTGTGTTTTGGGTTTGACTACAGGGTCTGGGAAGAAAGCCATCCCCCCGCCGTCAGCCCAAATCCTCATAATTGGAATTCCGTGGACTTAGTGGCACAGAGCACAGGGGGGGACCCGGAGGCCCCTGAAGCGGTTCCCGAGGGCTGCTCACTGCCTTGGCCACACTGAGCCCCTGGCCCTGCAGCAGCAGCAGGACACCCCAGGCGGAGGGCATTCACCCCCACAGAGCGCCCTCAAAGCGCCACCATCCAGCCCACAGCCAACAGCTGCACGTGGCTATTTTAAATGAAATGAAAATTTAGTCCCTCAGCCACACAGGCACAATCCAAGCGCCCTACAGCCCCACATGGGCCTGGAATGTTTCCATCACCCGAGAAATTCTACTAGTGTCGCTAAAAGCAGGCGCTGTCCGCCCACAGAGGCGTCCCGAGCACCTGCTGCGTTAGATCAGCGCCGGGGGCAGCTCTCCCAGGCTCCCTGTGGGCAGTCAGTCCCGCACGGGACCGCACCCCCGCCCCTGCGGAGGGCCAATTCCTCACCTGGCACAGTTACACTTGCAAATTGAATAACCACGAGGGTGGGTGGATTTCTGTTAGTTTTTTGGTTAGTCTGTTTGCTCTTTTTTTTCTCTTTAATTCAAAACACCTTTCAGCTACTAACTAATTATCAACTCCTCTCTACTTCCTTGTTTCAGGTCAAGCCCGGCTGGGCAGAGCCACAGGAATGACTTGTGTCCAGCCACCCCCTCCTGGGCTCCCAAGAGAGGACACGGGAGCCCAGGACCTCAGCCTCCTCAGGGCATCAGACCCAGGACCTCAGCACCTTGTTGGGACAGGACTGCGTGTGGAGAGCAGGCCTGTGTCTCTGATCAGGAGGGTGAAAGCACCGCTGGGCTGGTCCCTTCCCCATGGCCGTTTCCCCTGGACTACGTGCCTGCCTCCGTCTCCCAGGGACGGCTCGGCTGGCCAAAGCCCCAGGCGTGTCCTGGCCTGCTCCGCACTCCCGACAAGAAGCGTCATCGTCACGAAGGTGGCCCCCCCGCCCACACCGCAGGCCTGTGGTCAGGGCCCCTGGGACGGTGCGAGGCGGGAAGGGACACGAGGCGCTGAGACACACGGACGGGACGTGGCCGCTCCCCACCGGCCCAGTGGGCCCTCGGGGCTCCGGTGCCCGGTCAGCTGCTGGAGGCCATGTCCCGGGTGCGGTCGGGAAGGGAAGGGCCCGGGGGTCGCTGTCCAGCCCTGCCGGCTGCCTGTCTCCTGGCCCTACCGATTCAGCCATCGAGTGGAGGTCCCCCTCGCTCGCCCCCTACTCCTGGCTGCGGGGACCTGCGAGGTGTCTAGCACACCCTTTCCCCCTGAATTAGAGGCGACGTGCAGTGGCAGGGAGGACCGTGTGGAGACGACTGTCTGCCTGCCGCACCGCCGCGGGGCCCGCCCAGGGACCAAGGCTTCGGGCTCGGGCTCGGCGGGCAGCCCCAGCATGAAGCCCACCCTGAGGGCTGGGGGCGGGAGGTGGGGAGCCGGGTGAGGCCTGGAGTCCAGTTCCACGCAGAGCCACCGGCCCTCAGCAGGCCCGGGAACCAGGAGAGGCCTGGGGGAGTGGCGCCCAGGGCCAGAGGCCCTGGGGCTGGAACAGGAGGGAGGCCTCCAAGGACCGACTAGACGAGCTGGGCTCCATCAGGAGAAAGAGCCCCGCAGAGGGCCCAGATCCTCCCACTGGGAGAGGCGCTGAGCTAGACCAACTGCCGTCCAGGGACTGGCCTGAGGCTCAGCAACTAGACAGCAGGGGCCGCTCCGGACCCCACGGGTCTAGATTCTGTAGGGGCTTTGGGGATGGCAGGTGCGCGGGTGGGGCTGGACTTCCAGCAGAGCCGCGGGCCCTGAAGCGGTCCCCTGAACAGAGAGGCTCAGAACGCGGCCCTCGGGAGCGGCCGCGGCGGACAGCGGAGCCTCGCGCCACCGCGGGTGGGCTGGGGGCAGCAGGGCCGAACACGCCCTGGAGATAAGCGGACAGCCTGCGAGGCCCCTGTCCAGGCGGTGTGTTTCAAGAAGGAAGAAGGGAGGAGCGGGTTCGGGGTTTCGGGGAGGGGGGTGGCCCTGGTGAGGGGGGTGGAGCCGGCTCAGGGGTCGGGGGCTGCAGAGGGTCCGGCGGCGTGGCCCGGGAGGGCGGTCCCCCCGGGGGTGAGGCCTCACCTGGGCCGGACGCCGGGCCGCGCGGGAGTCCCCGTCGCTCCCCCAGGCACCGCTGCAGCTGCCGCAGCTTCTCCTCCTCCAGGCGCACCGCGTGCTGGCGCTGCCGGCGCACCTGGCGGCCCAGGTTCCCCTCGCGGCACAGGCGCCGCGCCGCCTCGGCAATCTGCAGCTGTAGGGCCAGCTGGCGCTCCAGGCCGCTCAGCGGGTCCTGGGGGAGGACGCGGTCAGCCACCCCGGGCAGCGCCCCCGACCGGTCCGCCCGCCCCGGGACCCAGCCAGCAGCCTCCAGCAGAGCCCCGCGGGGGCGGGGCCGAGGTGGAGGTGTTCCCTTCCCACCGAATGGGCCCAGGGGATCTGCAACCTCACCGCACAGGGCGGGGCCCAAGGGCCGGATCCACCCCCACAGCCCTCCACCCGAGCTGAGAAAGGGGAGGGCAGCAGGGGGAGCCGAGCAACCCACCCGTCCAGGCCGGCTGCCCTTTGGCCCTTGGGGGGACTGGCCCGGTGTCCTCCCTTGAGGCCCTGGCCCTTCCAGTTCTGCCCAGGCAGGGCTTCCCTGAGGCCCCTGTGGGTAACACGTGGGCGGGGGACCTGTCCACCAGGAGCCAAGCGCCCTGAGCGGCGGGACGGTGGCCTGGGGACAGGGCCATCTCCCTCAGGGACCTGGGCAGCGCCCGGCAGACTCACCTCCCTGTGCAGGGACCACTCGTCCAGTTTATAAGCAGCTCCGATCCTGCGGCGGACCTTGGGGGCCTTCTCCCCGGGTTTGAGGGGGAACTCCACTGGCAGGATGCCCGTCAACTCCTGCGGGGGGCAGGACGAGGTCGGGCCAGGCAGCGATCACACGCCCAGCCCTGGGCGGAGCAGCAGCAGCCTGCCCAGCAGGCGTGCGTGAGCTGTGCCCGCCCGGCCCCGGCCACCTCCGCCCGCCCCACGTCCAGGGCCGTCCCTCCTGCTCCCCGTGGCCGGGCACCTGTATGGGCCAGGCTACGGTGCCCAGGACGCCTGCGTCCGCGTGGCCCCTGCAGACCCTCCCCCGTGCGGTGCCGTCGGCCCCCCCGGCCCCCCCGGCCCTCAGCCCCACCCACAGCCACGCGGCCCTCACCGCTTCCCGCAGGCAGAGCCTCCTCAGCTCCTCCAGGCAGGCCTCCAGCCGCTCCTCCAGGGCCCGCTGCTGCTTCCGCACGGCGTGGGTCAGCTCCTTCGCGGGGGACACCGGGCTGTCGGGGCCTGCTGGGGACAGGGCCATGTGCTCAGGGGAGCCAGTCCTGGCTGGGGGTACACACGCGGGCTCGCAGTCTCACGCCTGTCCAGACTGTGGGCCGGCTTCCACGGCCCCATGCCACAGCCGCAAACCGGCTAGTCTCCTGCTGCCATACGGCCCTGTCCAAACCAGTCCCCACTGGGCCCACCAGCTTGCACCAACCAGAGCCTTAGCCCCTCACCCCAACCAGATAAGATTTTCCAGCTTCTGAGGGACCGTGGAGCCAAGAGAGAGTGCTACAGATACCTTCCCAAACAGGACCCATGCTCCCGGCCAGACCCCCAGCAAGGAAACCCTTCCAGCCCTTCTGGTGTCTGCCCCTCGGGGCCCAGAGCCCGGGACTCGTGGACTCGGGGACTGGAGGACTCGGGGATTGGGGGGCCTGACCCATTCACCTGACTGCAGGATGATGCCGCTGTCCGTGTCGCTGACCTCGTCCTTGCTGTCCATGGTGGGCTTCTGGGAGGAGGGAGTGAGGAGGAGGGACCGACACCCTTCCCAGCCCAGGCCAGGACACGGAGGTGGCCTGGAGTTTCCCCAGCTTTTAAAAGAACAACAAAAAATGACAGAGGTAAAGCCCTGAGCTTCCAGACAGAGCTGATTAGTCGGATGTGTGAGGGTGAGGGTGGGGCTGCGGCGTGGCGACCCGGCCTCTGGGGGAGGGACTCTGGGGGTGGGGCAGCCTCGGTGCTGGGGTGACCTGGCCCTGGGTGGACTCTCAGCCCAGCCTAGACAGCCACGGCTGCCCTCCCAGAGAAGCCTCGAAGGCTGGGGGGCAACAGCAGGGCTGGCCCCGGGGACCGTGACACCGGGGAGAAAAACCGTAAGGAGAGCAAAAGGAGCGAATGAAACGGGGCCGGGGGTGGCAGGGGAGACGACAAATTGGCAGGGGACTGTCTGTGCCAGGAGCCGCACCATGCCCACTGCCCCGGGGAGGGCGCTGGCATGCAGCCAGACCCCCCGCTCTGTCTGCACCAGGCCGTCCATCCGAGGCAGGTGCCCGAAGCGTCCTGCCAGCTCTGGGCTGCCCATGATGCCTGGGAGACCCCTCGGAGGGGAGGAGTCCAGGGCATCACGCCCCCAGCCAGGAGACACAGCGCGCACATGTGTGTGTCTGTGTGTGTGTGTGTGTGTGTGTCTGTGGATATGTGTGTGTCTGCGGGTGGGTGGGTGGGTGTCTGTGTGTCTGTGGATATGTGTGTGTCTGTGTCTGGGGAGGTGGGTGTCTGTGTGTCTGTGGATACGTGTGTGTCTGTGTGTGTGTGTGTCTGTGTCTGGGGAGGTGGGTGTCTGTGTGTTTGTGTCTGGGGACATGGGTGTCTGTGTGTCTCTGTGCGTGTGAGCGGAGCGTGACCAGAGCAGAAGCCGTGAAGTGCAGGCGCAGGAAGGCCGAGGCCACCCTGCCTCCCCGGCCCGGGAGCACACAGGCAGCTTAGGAGTGCTCCCGGGCGAGCGTCCGCCGGCACCAGTGACAACGCCACCCCTGCAGGCGGCCGCTGTCCCCGCCGGCCGAGCCCGGGGCTGCTGGCTGCAGCGGGGGTGGGGAGGGCGGGTGGGGCCCCGGCAGGCGGCCTGGAAGGAGAGCCAGCCACCTCCTCACTGAGTCAGCCGTTGAGCAACAGTCCAAAAGTCCTTCCGAGTTTCTGTCTGGAGCTTATCCTGCCTCTCCTCGGGGCACGCTGCAGCGCGGGGGAGGTGGGCTCGTCAGCTGGGGGGAGAGGAGGCAGCCTCGGAGGCTGCAGGGCAGGTGAGGGGAGGGACCCCGCCCGGCAGGCCGGGTCGCACCCCGCTGCCCTGCGTGCAGACCTGTGTCAGAGCACGGCCCAGCAGCGCACCTTGGGCATCAGCTAAGCCTACCCCTGAACACAATTTGTGCCTGCAGGTCGGAGTTCCAGTCCTCCACGGAGGCCTAGAGAATGCACGGGGGGATCATGTGGGCCCTCCGCAGAGATGCTGCGGAGAGGAACTCAGACGAGGGCACTCAGGGTGAGCGAGCTCTGCCCGGTCCATCCTTCCCAGATGCTCCTTCCTCCTGGAGCTGGAGGCAGACAGAGGGCAGGCAGCTCCCCCAACCCCCATCCAGCCTGAGCCTCCCCAGACACTGGGCTCAGCCAGCCTGAGCGACGAAGCGAGGCGGTCTGGGCAAGCAAGCCTGCCTGGCCAGGGGAGGGAAGCTATCAATTAGTCACACTTACTAATTAATTACTAGCCACTCAGGAGTGCCCTGGGAAGTGGCGACAACTCGGTCGGCTTTTCAGGCCCGTCCTGCTGCGGGGAGCAAGCGGGGTTGGTGGGGACCGAGGGCATGGGCTGGCCAGACAGTCCCCTCGGGATTCCATCTCTCCGTCCAAGGTCAGGGGCAGGCACTCGGGGCCCCGGACTCCAGCACAGACCTCGGAGCCTGGGATGCAAGCCTGGGTCCTGCTGCCGCCGCTGGGATCTAGGGAGCTCATCTCACCTCACCCGCCGGGGCCCCCGTCTCACCACGGAACACTGGACAGCACCCCAGGTGCTGGCTACTCCCCGCCCTGAACGTGAACCTCTGCGCCAGCGCCAGGCTGAGACGGAAGCCTGTGGGGGCCCCCCAGGGCCTGCGGGCTCCCGAGGGTGGGACGCACGGTTTTCAGAGAAAGACAGTTCTGGGACCATCCCGGCCTCTCCGCACAGGAACCTTCCCTGAGCTTCAGACCTGCAGCCCCAGCGGCGACCCCAGCCGGGGCCCTAAGCCGTCCACCCAGTGAGCAGTGTCCCCAGAAGAGGGCAGAGGACAGGAGGGGTGCAGGCGGAGGAAGGGACGCCCTGCTCACTCTCCCTCCAGCAGAGCCACGGGAACCCTCTCCCACACAAACGTGGCCCACAGCCGGGCCCTGGGCCTGTCTCCCCTGCCCCACAGGAACCGAGCGAGGCCCAGGAACCAGCGCATTGGGGCCTCGTCTCAGCCCACGAGCACCCCCGCCCCCTGCGCCCCAGACACAAGCACGGCCCGTTCCCGGCCGGCTGGCTCCTCGCCCCAAAGGCCCGCGCCGGCCGCCTTGCCTCACCTGTGCCCAGGTTTCCGTCCAGGTGTCAGGGAAGCGCCCCCTGGTCCCAGTCAGGGGGCCGAAGGGCCCGGCGTGTGGCCTCAGGGCGTCCCTGGCCGCCCCACGCTCTGACCCAGGGTGGCTCTGCGCTGACGGCCGACGGCTGGCCCTCCCGGGGCCCGCCTGCGTCCCTCCCAGGCTGCTGGGCCAGGGGAGCCAGGTTACTTGTTCCGACTTGAGTCAGAGGGAGGAGCGGTGAGCAAGCCCTTCCCTGCACAAGTCCTGCCGCCCAGGCAGCTCGGGCCTCTGCACTTCCGGGAGCAGCGGGGGATGGGACCCAGGGCTCCCCGCAGGAACCCCAGGAGAAGGCAGTGGGGTCAGGCCTTCAGGGCCTCCAGGGCCCTGCCCGCCCCCCAGGTTCCCAACACGTGCAGCACCCACATGTGGGGAGCACCAGCGAGAAACCTGCTCGCTGACAAGACGGGTCCCTGCTCCCCTCCTCTAAAGTGGAGCCCAGGCCAAGCTAGGTTAGAAACGCCAGGCCGGGCCGTGACCCTGGAACTCCAAGCGGGGAGGCTCCGGGCTCCCAAAGGAGGCCAGGCTGTTCCCTCCTCTGACCCCAGACGTCTCCAGGATCATCAAGGCCACACCCGCCCCGTGTGTCACTGACATCCGGCCCCACAGGGCCCGCCCTGAACCCCAGTCCTGCCCCCAGTCCACAGGAGGGCCGCTGAGACCCCGGGCTCTAAGCCCACGCCCCGAACGCCAGGGGCCAGAGCCCAAAGTGGAACTTCTTGAACCCCCGGGTCCCCACCCCACCGACCCTCAGGCAAACCCAGCACTGTTGGAGTTCAGCCTGTTTCATCGGGGAAGCAGGGCCAAGGCAGCCAGTGGTCCATCCCCAGCAGGAAGAAGGCCTTCCCTGGTGGCTCCGCTGGTAAAGAATCCGCCTGCAAGGCAGCAGACCCCGGTTCCATCCCTGGGTCGGGAAGAGCCCCTGGAGAGATGAACGGCTACCCACTCCAGTGCTCTGGCCTGGAGAATCCCATGGACTGAAACAGCCTAGCAGGTGACAGTCCGCCGGGTCGCAAAGGGCAGGAACAAGTGAGCACCTAAGCACACAAGCAGAGTGCAGGAGGAAGAAGCTGGACCGGTGCCGCCCACCAGAGACCCCCAAGGCTTCCCCCAGCACCGCCCTCCCCGCCAGGCCCCTCACCCCTGGTCCCAGCACTACACACATTTCCAGATGGCTCCCCAACACCCAGCCCCAAGACCACCTCCCTCCCCCAGTCCCCTGGGAAGGGTCAACAGAGGCCATCACCCCAAGGATGCTTGGGCTCCCATGGAGCCGCATCACGGACACAGGCGGCCCGTACCGCCCCTACACCGCCAAGGCCCCTCCCGCTCCCGCACACACCCTCTTTCCACAGTGCGAGCCAGCGCCCTACAGGCTGATCACCCCTGTCTCTCCCAGGCTGAGGGGCTCCAGCAGCAGGCAGCCCCCCCCAGGTTTGTCAGTCTCCCCAGACAAACAGAGGAGGTGACCCGAGGCACACCCGGCCTCCACCCTGCCCAGCAAGGAGAGGTCACGGAAGTTTCTGGAATCAGCTTGTAGCATATGTTTTAATACATTAAATAAGATGAAGAGAATCACTAAGAGAATCGATCATAGTGAAATGCAGTTCTACAAACGAGACAGCATAGTGAATTATACATGTTTCTCTATTAAGATTAAACAGGATCCGGGAGTCTGGCGACGCTGCACCACCGGCAGCAGCCCGGGTTCCCAGACAGCCATCACAACGGCTCTGTGATAGGACACCCTCTGGCATCTACTAACGGCAAATCACAGCTACTGCCAACGGCGTCTTGTCTTCATAACTGAAGGCAATGCTAACTTTCAGTAAAGGCTGATGAAAAATAAATCTTTTCCCATCTGAGTACAAGACTCTTGGAATTCATGCTATCCACCAATGCTCCGGGGGCCCATTTGTTGCCGCAGTATACCAGGCCTCCCTGTCCTTCACCATCTCCCGGAGCTTGCTCAAACTCATGTCCATTGAGTCGGTGACCCCGTCCAACCCTCTCATCCTCTGTAGTCCCCTTCTCCTCCTGCCCTCAATCTTTCCCAACATCAGAGTCTTTTCCATGCCCGTGGACCCAGTTAAGAACTCTTGGGTAATGCCCCATCTCTGAGTTCAGGACGAGAAGGATGAGGATCAGCCCATGTGCTGAAGCCTCAAAGATCCTGTGCTCCCTCAAATTCACCCACAGCATTTCCCAGCCCAGCGGGATGTGAGGCGTGGAGTGGGACTGGCAACACGGCTCTCTCCGGAACCCCGAGATGTGGATCTCCCTGGACTCCATGTCCTTCAACTCATGGTGCCCGGGGGGAGGTGGGCATTCCAGAGGCCTGCTGGGTGGCAGCGTGCTGCTTCCAGCCAACACCCGAGACCCACATGCCAGAGCATCGTCACCAGGAGCACCAGTCGGTGAGGAAGTGGGGTTTCTTATACTTGGAACCTGATCTTTGAAAGGAGAAGCTGCACCCTTGTTGGGTTTTCATTCCCTAAGGATAAGTCCTGAATCAGAGGACTCTCCCACCTCCTGCACCCACCCCATTCTCCACTATGTTTTTAAAGTTCCTCCTGTAAGTTCCGTGTGACACACGAGGTTGAAAATTTAACCAAGGGGGTGTGACCACTCCGCATCCCCACCGGCACTCAGCGAAGACCACTCCTGGGGACTCCGGAAATTTCAACAGTCACCGAACCGGTGGCCAGCGGCTGGCTTCCCTTTCCAGCAGTGAAAAGAGTAAGGCGGGAGTCACCCCGGGACCCTCCAGGCTCGGGGGCGGGGGGGGGAGACGGTTCCGTAGACTGTTTCCTGTCCCCTGTGCTCCCCTCCCGCTGGGAAGGGTGCTCGTCTCCAGCGAGCGACGGCGGAGTGGGCAGGGACGGCGGACTCCACGACGGCCTGGAATGCGCCCTGCAATCAGACCTCTAGGCTCGCCTCCAAAAGCCCCTTTGTCCGGTCCACCCCGCTCCCCTCCCCCACCGCGCCCTCCGCGGCCCGGCGGCCCGGCGGCCCGAGGCTCGGCTCCTTTTGTCTGGCTTCCCGGAGCCTGCCAGGGGGTCCGCAGGCGTGGGGAAGGTCGGAGGAGAAAGGTCGAGGAGACGGAAACGCGCCTTTTCGGTAGGGATTCGGAACTCCCACCCCCCGGCGAATTCGCCCACTGCCCGCCGGGGCCCCCTCCGCCTCGGCTCGGCCGCCCCGGCCCCCGCGCCGCGCCCCGGCGCTGCCCTTACCTGTCCCATGGAGGTCCCGCGCCGCCCGCCTGCCCCCGCGCCCCCCGCGCGCGCCTCGCAGCCTCGGGACCTGCTCGTCCAGGCCGGCTCTCCTCCCCCCGCGACTCCTCCCGGCCTCCCCGCCCCGGAGGTATTTCATTTAACTTCGGCATTCGCAGCATCCCAAATGTTAAAGATCCCAAGACATCTGTCCCCTGGGGCATACCAAGGCCCAGAGGAAAGAGGGGGAGGACGCGCGCAGAGACCCGAGATTCTGCTTCGGGAGCCTGGGCGGGGCCGCGCGGCGGGGCGGGGAGGCGCCCGCGGTGGGGGAGCGTCCCGCGGGGACCCCAGCGCGGGGGTGCCGGCCGCCTCCCCCCGCCTCCGGACGCGCGCGCCGCGGGAGCCCCCCGCGCCGCCAGTTCCCGCGGCCCGGCGGGGAAGGCTCCTCCCGGGCCCGGGGCCGCCTTCCCTCCGCGCGCTCCGGCCGGCCCGGCGGCTTCCGCGCCGGGAGAGCCAGGCTGAGCGAAGAGGGGGCGCCGCGCCCACCCCCCGGGCCCTCTCGGCCCTGCCCCCTCCCCCTCGCCGGGCCCCCGCCCCCCGCCCCCGGCGGCCGCGGCCGGGCCCCTCCCGCGGGTGGCGGACCGGCCGGGAGCGGGGGGCGCGCTGGGGGGTTGCGGGGCCTCCTGCGGCTGACTGAGCCAGCGCCCCGCCCGTCATTCATTCGCTCCCCGCCGGTTCGGGCCATGCTGATGGAGCACCTACTAGTGCCCCCCACTGCGGCGGGTCAAAGTGCAATCGCCCCCGGCATCCCCGAGCTAGAGGCGCGGGCACTCGGCAGAGGGTCAGAGACGGAAGGCCCACAGCACCCGCCGGGGGGACCGGGGGCTGACCCCGGCCGAGGACCGCACTGCCTGCCGGAGGGGGCCGTGCCGGGAACCGGGGGTCGGGGCCTGAGAGGAGCCGAGGGCAGCAGCGACGGGATGCACAGAAACCCGACGGCAAAGGACCCCGGGAGGGTCTGGGAGCTGAGGGAGCTTGGGGTGTGGGGTGAGGAGGAGGCGAGGGTCTAGGAGAGTGGAGCCGCCGGCAGGGGTCCCGGGACGCAGGGCCGCTCCGTGCGGTTGTCCAGGTTGTGCATCAAACTAGGAGGAAAAGCGCACCCAGGCTCCACCCACCAAGCCCTGGGCCTGGGCCAGAGCCACATCTGCCTAGAGGCGGTGGTTCTTCCCAGTTTGTACAGAGGTAGTAGGTGAGCTGGGTTTCCCTAGTAGCTCAGACGGTAAAGCATCCGTGCATGCACGACTGATCCCTGGGTGCCGAAGATCCCCTGGAGAAGGAAATGGCAACCCACTCCAGTATTCTTGCCTGGAGAATCCATGGACAGTGGAGCCTGGTGGGCTGCAGTCCATGGGGTCACAAAAAGTCACACATGACTGGGCAGCTAACACACACTCGGTGAGCTAAGCTGGCTGTAAAGCCATGTGGGCTAAGGATTTAAGATTTTTATCCTGAATTGAAGAAAAGCTCCAGGGTAACAGAATTAACACGATCCCCCCCCCCCCATCTGTGTGTGTGTGTACAGACATACAGAGAGAGAGTTGGTCCATGATACTCCAGAGGCTGACAGGGCCACAGCCTGTAGGATGGACTGGCAGGCTGCAGGCCCAGGAAGGGGTCACAGTCCAGCTCCAGAGGCCGCCTGCTTGCAGAACTCCCTATTTATTAGAAGTCAATCTGTTTGCCCTTCTGGCCTTCACATGATTGGACGTGGCCCACCACACCATGGCAGGTCGTGGGCTTGACCTGCCAGCATCTATTGTTTATTTCAGTGTTAATCTCATCTAAAAAATACCTTTACAGAAACATCTGCAATAATGTTCAACCAAATCTCTGGGTACCATGGTCTAGCCAAGTTGACACATAAAATTAACCATCACACTACTGAAGACTGCTCTTCCTAGGACAAGCTGGGCAGACTGGTGCAAGTGATTGTCATGGGGAGGGTTGCAAAACAAGGTAACACAAGAGACAGTATCCAGACAAGGGGTGATGGAACCTGAATTCGCCCTGTGGCTTTGAGTGGGGAGGGGATGGGGGGAGTCAGGAGCTATCTGGGATCGAGACCTGAGTGACTTACTAAAGACGTGGCAGGAGGAAGGGGAGGGGCTGGGGTTTCCCGGGTTTCTGGCTTGAGCTCAGGGACAGGTGTGTTCATTTCAGGCCACGTGTGGTGATCAGCAGTCTGGATGCAGGAAGGGCCTGGGAGCCATAGAATGGCTGCAACTGCTGTCCCAGGTGAGACGGCCCGGGAAGGGTGTGCAGGGTGAGGAAGGACCAGCGGGTAAACTCCAGGAATGTTTAAGGGGTGAATAGGTTGTAAAGTACCTCCAGTGGTAAGCATTATTGTTATTATTTTTTTGTTGTTACCAGTTTGGGCCCATCATTTTTATTTTTAAAATTGTATTATTTTTTTCTTCATGAAGCTTTTTACTTTGTGTTGGAGTGTAACCAGCTAACAATGTTGAGATAGCTTCCGGTGCATAGCAGAGGGACTCAGCCTAACATTTACATGTGTCCCTTCTCCCCCAAACTCCCCTCCCATCCAGACTGCCACCTGACACCGGGCAGAGTTCCCTGTGCTGTACAGTGGGACCTTGTTAGCGTCCATTTTAGATAGAGCAGTGTGTACACGTCCACCCCAAGCTCCCTGGCTATCCCTCCCCCCAGCCACCTAAGCTTGTTCTCTAAGCCTGTGAGTCTGTTTTGTAAATAAGCTCATTTGTGTCACGTCTTTTCAGATTCCCATGTAAGGGACGTCATACAGTATTTCTCCTCTATCTGATGTACTTCACTCAGTATGACCGTCTTTCCGTTCAGTTCAGTTCAGTTCAGTTGCTCAGTCGTGTCCGACTCTTTGCGACCAAATGAACCGCAGCACGCCAGGCCTCCCTGTCCATCACCAACTCCCGGAGTCCACCCAAACCCATGTCCATCGAGTTGATGATGCCATCCAACCATCTCATCCTCTGTCGTCCCCTTGTCCTCCTGCCCTCAATCTTTCCCAGCATCAGGGTGTTTTCCAGTGAGTCAGCTCTTCCCATCAGGTGGCCAAAGCACTGGAGTTTCAGCTTCAACATCAGTCCTTCCAATGAACACCCAGGACTGATCTTTAGGTCCATTCATATTGCTGCAAATGGCAGAATTTAATTCTTTTTAATGGCTGAGTAATATTCCATTATATATATATATATGTGCCTCATCTTCTTTATCCATTCCTCTATCAATGCATGTTTAGGTTGGTAAGCATTATTATTACTCACACAACAGAATGGTTTGTTGAGATGTTGCTTTGTAGCCCTGCCACCCACCCCAGCCACCTTTGTCGTTTCTCTGGGTGTGAGACAGTGGCTTCCTGCAGGCTCTGAGCCCACTGGGACAATGCCAGGGGTCCTGAGGAGCAAGGGCAGGGGTGTGGCTTTGAGGGGAGATAGACTGCGATCAGGAGAGAAGATGCCCTGTGCAGCAAGCACCCCGCGCCTCCCCGCGCAGTCCCCGGGAGAGGACAAGACCACCGCAGGGATGGGGGTTGGGAGGTGGGCTCCAGATTGCTGACCTCAACAGATTCTTGCACCGCACACGTCCAGGGGGCAGGAGCCCCAGTTACCAGAGACTCCTGCGGGCCAGAGCAACTATGAATCGGGTGGCAGCCCTCCCTGCTTCCTGGGCTCCCCTAAGCCTTCAAGGACACTGTAAGAGAAAACAGAATTTTTTGCCATCCCAGCAGGCCCAAGACAGAATCAGACTGGTTTAATCAGAATAGGGGAAAAGTGGAAGCAATGACAGGCTTTATTTTTGGGGCTCCAAAATCACTGCAGGTGGCGACTGCAGCCATGAAATTGAAAGACACTTGCTCCTTGGAAGAAAAGCTATGACAAACCTAGACAGCATATTAAAAAGCAGAGACATCACTTTGCCAACAAAGGTCTGCGTAGTTCAAGCTGTGGTTTTCCAGTAGTCATCTATGGATGTGAGAGTTGGACCATAAAGAAGGTTGAGCACCAAAGATTTTTATGTTTCTGAATTACAGTGCTGGAGAAGACTCTAGAGAGAGTCCCTTGTACCGCAAGGAGATCGAATCAGTCAGTCCTAAAGAAAATCAACCCTGAATATTCGTTGGAAGGACTGATGCTGAAGTTGAAGCTCCAATACTTTGGCCACCTGATGTGAAGAGCTGACCCACTGGAAAAGATTTTGATGCTGGGAAGATTGAAGGCGGGAGGAGAAGGGGACGACAGAGGATGAGATGGTTGGATGGCATCATCAACTCAAGGGACATGAGTTGGAGCACACTCCGGGAGATAGTGAAGGACAGGGAAGCCTGGCATGCTGCAGTCCACGGGGTCGTAGAGAGTCAGACACAGCTGAGCAACTGAACAACAACAACAAAAGAAATAAAGGGGACATCCCTAGGGGTCCTGTGGTGAAGACTTCACCTTCCAATGCAGGGGGTGCAGATTCAATCCAGGATCAGGGAGCTAAGACCCCACATGCCTCAGGACCAAGAAACCACAACTTAGCAGCAATATTGTAACAAATTTAATAAAGACTTAATTGCACAAAAGAAATAAAGTAATATGTGTGTCTTGAGAACCCGAATTTGTAGGTTGAATTTATAGCAATACTGTCATCTTTCTTTACAGGTAAGGAAACTGAGGCCCAGGGAAGCTGAATAGTTGAGTTAAAGACACACAATCAGCCAGGGACTGATGTGGGACTGGAAGGTGGACCTTTCTGATGAGAGAGCCGTAACCTGTGGCTGTAAAACTCCAGACGTGTAAAGAGACCCGAAACAGAGAAGGCAGGACGCACATCAGGGACAAGAGTTCTGGTCTCCAGGTCACTGCTTGATGTACGAGGCAGCGGAGGGGCGAAGGCAGAAGCGCTGGTGGAGACTAGGGCAAAGTCGGAAACTTGGGCTCTGTCCCAAGGGGTCCGGCACTGCAAACGTGGTCACGAGAAAAAGAGAGCTGGAAATGCACGTTTCCCATGTGAAATCAAATTGGTGCACCTTCGGTTATCTTATTAAAAACCCAGAGGCGGCCTGGACCTAGGGGTAGGAGGTGTTGCTCCCCCACCCCACCCCCCGCCGCGCTAGGAGCCCCGAGCACCCGGAGATGCTGGGCTTGGAAGCAGAAACCGGGTCTCACCGGGGCCTGGCCCG